TATTATATGTCGAATTAGAACCATAACATTTTTCACACGGAAGAAGGCCTTTCGTTCCATAGATAGAACGGCTTATTCAGTCACTTTCACCCTATTTAAATTGTTTTATGCTGTAAAGTACAATGTTAGTGATACTGAAATGGTCAGATTTTAGATGGGGAAGCGAATCTACTGTGGGAAAATTCGAACTGTTTAGGCAACACCAGAAAACTGTGAATTCTGAAGTCACGTCAGTCTCTTTGGAGCTATTGAAATTGTTCATTTGTGGCTGATTTTGTACACAAAGGTACCTGGGCCAAGTCCTATCTCAATTTTATTCTTTATAAATCATTACAGCATTAAGAGGTGAAATAATAATAATAATCCTTGCATTTGATATAGATATAGAGATGTCTCAAGAGCACTTCACAGAAAAGCAGCTGCACTGGCACCAGGAAAGAGAGAGACAGTCGTCTCAGTGGTAGTTTTAGAAAGATGAGATATTGATAGATCTCTGGAAAGCTTCTGGATACCATCAGACTAGAAATTGATGGCGAAGAAGAAAATCCGGAAACAGCATTGGCTAAGATTAATTATGTCTAGTTTATGGGAGCAAATTATGGCTCACAATCCATTTGTGACCTGCAAACCCTGGCTATCTGAATGGTAAGGTCACGTTACCAATAAGAGGAATCTTTCCATTTTCTCTCTTCCTGAGTGAATTCTGCTCCTTTTCCTGAAACAGATGCAGGTCACTCTCTAGCATTTTACACAAGTTATTCTCGACATTAAGGATCAATAACATTCAAGAGCAGGCTGATTTGTTTTCCCTGGAAGGATGAGATCAATTGCAGCAACTTGCATGCACACAGCGTCCTTCATGTAGGCTAACAGCAGGAAGTCGGACACTGAGCGTAGAAGAAGGGGAGAGAGGATGACCATAGAAATGATTTAAGAGGTAAATTTTCAGGTTGAATTTAAAGACAATTAAAGAGGCTGGGTGGAGGGATACAGCAAGGGAATTTCTAGAGGTTAGGGGCAGAGTTACTGAAGGATCCTGGACTAATGGGCCAATGTAGCTATCTTTATCCAAATTTCTCTTGTGATCTATTGTTCCCAATTGTAATACTCCCAGAGATGCTCTGATTGAATTCACTTAACTCAGCGCAGCCTGAGTTTCGAATCTGTAGTCTCCCATGGCCTTTGTAAGAGCTGTTATTATTGAGCAGGTCTGCGTCTAGTTCAAGTTCAGTAACCATACTGACTTTGGTATCGGCTGTTTGCAATGATATAGAAAGGGAGGCCGTACTTTTCTAAAAATAGTATTTGCAGCTGGTTGTAAAGCACTGCAAAAAATAGCTTTTTCTAACATTTTCTAGCACTCTACTTTTTATGACGACAAGTGACTTAAAGAAGTCCTATCTCCATGTCATTCTTTATAAAACATTACAGCATTAAATGAAATGCATCTTACAGGATGAATAATGTTGGAGGGCATTTGAATTACTGCTTAAACCACTATGTTCAGTGCATTTTGGCACACAGATTATTAATAGTTCCTATCTTTTGTAAATATTTTGAAGGATTGGATATGTTGTATCCAATTAAAATCTCTTTGTGTCTGATACAGTCGATCAGTGTAGCTCAGTTGGTATCTCGAGATAGAAGGTTGTGAGCTCAAGCCCCATGTAGCCTTGTGTCAGGACATTAAGCTTATATATTCCAGTACAACGGTGGTGTGGGCTCATTGTCAGAGGTTCCATCCTTCGGATGTGACATTAATTTGAATTCCTCTCTGCTTGCTCAGGTGGATTCAAAGACTCCATGTAGCGTTTGAAAAGAAAAGGCAGTTTCTCCTAATGTCCTGGCCAAGAATCTCCCAGAGAGGAAGGAAATTAGTCATTCACAGCAGATTTGTGGGACATTGTCGTGTGCAGATTGGCTGCCGTGTTTGCCTACAAAATATACAATCGATACATTCTACAATAAAAGCCCGTGGAGAGCTTTGGGACTCCTCAAATGCAAGGATTATTATCGGCTTTAGAGCTTTTCTTATGTTCTTAGTTTTGTGATTGTGGCTTGGACATCACGTAGCTCTGAGCTTCAGTGGTTGGATAGTGCTACTCATTAACTGTGGTTGTTTTTGCAAAACCATCGGCATGACTGTGAGCTCTCATATCCGGAGATGATGCACGCAATGATCAGCATTGCAGAGAGTTAAAATTCAGCCCTAACTAAGCCTTAGCGATTGCTGACAGACCTACACAGAGAAGTCTCTGGGTGTCTGTGGAATCTGTACACACCATTTGTGCTGTTGAACAAAGCCCTGTCTAAGTTACAGCAATAAAACTGCTCAAAGGTCAAGAACAGCTTCAGTTATGCAATGTTTACTCTCAGCCACTGCAATAATGCAAAACAAATCTTAAGTAAAACATTGCTTACTAAAACCTTTCTGGTTGGGGCTTTTGATGTTATCACTTTTTCTCTTATTTAAAAAAAATGTCTGTAATGAGGAAATGTCACAAAGCCATTATATTAATTACTGTCATTTAAAGTGACTGTTTTCTGTAACCAAACGTATCTCTTTGCTAGTATCCATTACTCTTTCTGCCTATTTTTACTTTTTTTCTGCCTGTTTTTACCTTTTAAATTAAGAATAGTGCTGATTTTAAAACCACCAGGAAGGTAAAGAAATGCTCTGATGTGTGAATTTGTCCATTTTAACAAGGGTTAAAGTGATCAGCGTCTATCTGCAGTAAAAGTATTTCAAGATGTTTAGGTCTACAGAAAAAAACAATGTACTATATTACACTTTCTGGGTTCAGAGACAGATTCTCTCATTGAGACTCACACTCTATCATAACTCTTCCAGCCATTTGCCTAATTTATACCCATTGTGAGACCTTTACTCCAAGACAATTCTTATTTATGTTGTTTTAATTCATAGCTTGTGGAATAATCTATAAGGTCAAACCCATAGTAGATCATAACTGAATCTGTGCCGCATGTGGCAATTTTGTTATTCGAATCGTCCCTTGAGACTGCAATGGATTTGGCCTTGAAATCAAATCCAAACGGATCTCAGGAAAATAAAGAAAGATCACATTGCTTCAGGACTAAAAATGCTCCACAAGTATTGAAACTTGTGGATGTTGCTGCTCGTGAACTGAGAACTCCTACCATCAAGATGGCTGGCCAACAAAATGAAAATAGTGTGTTCCCATCTTGCAGCCAATTGGACTGAGGCCAGTGCAAAGGATTTTCTTGAATCTGTTTCAAATAAGTCAGAGAATACTGTTCCCTACCCAAAACTCTTCCAAGACACGACAGATCCCTTGCTGTATTATGAGAGGCCCTATTTCTGCACAAATGGTATGTAATACACTTACGCAACTGGCTGGACAGAATCCAAGTTTTGTGACAAAGCACAGGATCTGCTTCGCCTAGGTTTCAATCATTCTAAACCAATTCACAAATATTCCCACTGGTGAATTTTCATACTCTCCTTCCCCTCCCTGAGGAATTCTCTCACACAGCGCTGCACTAATCTGTTTACAAGCAGCAATGAGCATTACTTGATAAATCAGTGATTTTGGAGCTCGCATTAAAGAAAAGCTGGGAACCTGCAGGTCAACGCCCAAGATATGTACTTCAGGTATTTTTCTGCTCTCGGCGACTATTAATTACATGGAAAAACTTGTTCAGTGTTTGTGGAACCTGTATACCATCTTCTTATTCCACCTATTTTGAGCTGTTTTAGTCATTAAATATAAAGCCCTCGTTGCCTTGAAATGGAATCAATCAATGACTTTGGAAAGGCCTACCATCAGTATAATATTATCTTCCAATGTCCTGACTGGCATTTTTGATATGGAGTAAAGTTTAAGGTTAATTAATGTTTAAAATAATTGGGGTGAAAATTGTGACCTATATTGTGTTAATTAACATATGGTTCATCTTCTCTAACTGAAGACTGGAACATTGGTTTGTTCCCTCGGGTACGTCACAATGGTTGGGCCTGAAACAATCTAATAAATGACAGTCAACATGGGTTTAAAAGGAATAGGTCTTGACTGACCAACCACATGTACTCTATGGATGGGATAGAACTTGCCAGGGGCGTGGGGTGGGGCTGTGGGGGGATCTCGTGACTCACTGTTGACCGTGTTAGAAAAGGGTGAGGCAGCAATAAACAAGGCAAACAGGATGCTGGACTCAAGCTACATAGAGCCCTGGTTAGCCTGCACCAGGAGTAATGCGTTCAGTTCTGGTCGCTGTAATGTGACAGGCTCCCAAAGCCCTAGAAGCCAGGATTCAGTTAAGGAACAGCTTGAAGCTGTGATGGGAAAATGGTAGGGTGGGTATACAGGAAGGGTGAGAGCAAATGAGCTGAAGCGCTTTCTTCATTCGAACGAATCTTGTGAACTTGTAAAGCCAAGCAGCAATATATATTGCACTTGGTGGATTAAGGATTTGAAGAGCCAGGTGGTGGGTAAGCTCTCTGAGGCTCTACCCGTATGAAGGGCGTTATATAAATCCAAGTGGTTGTTGTTTTTATTCCGATTTGATGTGTTGATTGCAATTTTCACCCCATAAAAGAAAAGCCTGCTATTTTTTTCTATCAAGTCAAAGCGCACCACTTGGTTTTCTTTCTTGCCTGACTTTGCGAGGTTTACAGTGGAGATTCCAGCAAAGGGTGACAGGGAGAGCTGAGGGGCCAGGGAGAGGGGGAAAACCACATCAGGCAGAGGAAACATTGGCTGCTTCAAGCTCAAGCCTGGACTTCAGGGAATGCAGGAAGCAGCCCACCCTGGCAATTCCATGTGAGGATCAGGAGCTCATTGCAAGAAAATGGGATAAGGAGTGGTGTTGTGTTTGTGTGTTTGAAAGCAAAGGTCCAGCCAAACTCTGGCAGCCTGTGAGTTAATGTCTTGCAATAAACCATTACAGCAATAATAGTAAATGTGACCAATCAGACTCCAGTTCTGCCTTTTCCACTCCCTTTAGATTAAAAGCCCTGAGAGCTTCAGCAGCAGAGATCTGTGCAGAGTGGAGCAGCTTTGAGCACATCTGTATTTTGCTTCTCTAGCATCAGAAACTCCAGTAAGTACAGTAGGACTTTGCACTTCTTTTCAGTCTCACTTATGCAGCCAACGACCCAGTCTGGGTTCTGACTCTTCTTGTCTGGTTTGATGCGAGTGATAAAATATTCCTTCCCCCACCCCCACACAAAAAAAACCCAAATCTGGTCAGTTTTCAAAGTTTCCTTACCGTCATTTAACTGTGCATTTTTTTTTAACGTGTAAAGGTGGCATGAATCTGTTTAAGTTACCTAAAACTTTTAGCCCTGTGACTAAATATATTGCATTTTTTTTAAAAACAACAACACATTGAGCAGTAATCTCTTTGATGTTTCTGGGATGTGTTGGGAAGATTGTCTGATGTATTTGCACAACAAAACAGTCACTTCACTTGGGAAAAAAAATCTCATTGTGTAACTTGATATGATTGGGGCAAATGCAACTCTTCATTTTTTTCCCCAAGATTTCAATATTTGAAGCATGCAACACACTGTATGGATAAGTTATGTAACATTATAGTTTCAAGGTAATTGTTTCGAGAAATCACTTTTGCTCTTTTGTTGCATTCATTTTTCTTCAAATATCATATGAAAGGGTTGCTTGCACCATCCTTGTTTGCTTGCAACATACATTAGTAAGTGTGACTGCATTTGCAACTGGAAATTGCCTTTTCTGTTTAATCACCTTTGTGGATTGCAAAAATTTCTGAAAGATTAGATTTTTGAAACTAGAAATGTGCATTATAGTTTTTTAAAATAGATTACTGGCGTTTTATTAATAGGATGATATTGCATTTCCTGCACTATCGTCGGCTGAATTCTTCTGTGTGGAAATAGTTGTGGTAAGGAGGAGGGGATGGATAATTCCTTCCACAGAGCAGTGAGCTCTGTTGATTGTTTCGTGATCCTTGTTGCCTGGAATCTGAAGGTCTATTGCGGATTGTCCTGGTGCAGTAGGTTTGCTTAAATGTATAGTAAGGGTGTGGCGGAGCTAGCTGGACAACAGGACTGAAATTGCCACCCAGCAAAGGCATTTCACAACCTATACTGCATCTTGGGAAGATCCATCCACATAAGCAAATCTACACTCAGGTTTATCATGTCTTTTTTCCTCCCCGGTGATAATCCCCAGCATCCATGAATCTACAATATAATTCAAACAGATAGGCCCAGATGTCATTCAAACAGCAGTTTGCAATTTAGAAATGGGAAATGGGTAATGTTTATCATTGTTCCCTCTCAATATAATAAATTAGATAGGATTGACAACAGCAGTGAAAATATTGTTGGGTGAGAAAACCAGTTGAGTCGGTTGAGTGAGAATCAAATGCAAATTTAAGGTGAATCGTTGTATGTCTGCACTTTTGTGCTTTTGGAAGAATGTGGAATATACTTTACAGTACATTGTGTGAACGGCTTTGGGAAGTACACCCAATGTAAAAGGCATTATACCAAATGTAAGGATGATTAAGTAGGGTCTCTTGGAACTGAACTGGCTCTAAGGTGACATGCCTGGTAATGGATTGTCAGAATCGAACCAGCCGTCTGTGGCGGTCTCAGTAATACGGTTCTACATCATTGTTTGACCAAATCTAGACTGTTGAATGAAAATTTTTAGAGAGTCTTGTTAAATGTCCTTTACACACAGGATAGACAACAGTTGGAGCAGATGGTAATCAACAGCTGGAACAGGATTATAAAGAAAAGTGGTTGAGGCAAAGGCCACTGAATTCATTTAAGAAATTGCATTTGCTAATTGGATGAAGGTTAATGTTGATAATGTAAAAGGATGAAATCAAATAACCCAATTGGTCTTTAACATTTGACTTGGAAGAAAAATGAAAAAGTAATTTGTGGTGGAAAAGTGTTTCAGATAATGAGTGTGCAGTTAGGTGCTATATAAAATGTAAATTTTGTAATGGTTGTAGAAACGCATTCACAATTAAAGAAAAAAAGTGCAGGAAATCATGTCAGTCTTTTTAATGGCAATTCACATGAGGTACTATTACTTTAGTTACCTTAGCTAAAAAATAAAGAGAATATTTTGAAAAAAATATAAGCTTGTTCCAAGAGAGAAAATGTTCATTAAAAGCAGCTTAAACCTAAAACTCCTATGATCCACTGTGCAAACTGCCCTTTTCACAAACCTTGTTTGAGCTTATCTCTGATGAAAAAGATTTCCAGCTGTTTCAATAATAATATACCATCCTTTTTATTTACCCTGAAGCTGTGTGAACATCCAATATTTATCCAGTTAGCTCGTGTAGAAATTAAATTGACTGCTGACAGAGCCCAAACAGTAAAGGGTGCAATTATGCAGGGCTTAATTTAACCTCATATTTAATTTAACTTCCTAATGTTAATGCCCAAATCCTAATGTATACTCTAAAACTGGTCTTTGTAATGTTAGTCAATATAAGTTATTCTAGCCTAGGACAGATCACTGATGAGGCTACAGTTGGAGTGTTGGTTGGCAGCAGTTTCCATGGGATATTAAGATCTTGGAGTGTGTTCAGAGGAGAACAATAAATGTGATCCAGCACTACATTGTGAGAAGATGCTGACATTGGGACTTTAGTGCCGCAGGCCGCAGGAATGAGCTTTGGTGCGTGCATGAGCCGGGGGGGAGCGGTTCTGGAAATATGCTATGCTTTCAAAACCCACTTCATACTTTAATAATGGATGAGTGTTGCTTTAATGCAGCTTGTGTTTTTACAGGAAACCATTTGCTCGATTGACTAAATGGATTTGATGCATACCATATTGTGTTCTTTTGTCCATCCTACATCTGCAGCATTGCAGAAGTGAATTAATGTATTCTCAGCTTGAATTCAACAAAGATCTAAACTTGAAAGAGAGCGTTGTTAGGCACCACAATTTAGGGAAAGTACTTAAACTCCTCTGAAATATATTTGTATGTGAATGTAATTTTGTTGCTAATCTAGTTCCTGTGGGACAGGTTTTCCTCTTGAAGCTGGTTTATGTCTTTATTTCTGGTCGCTAGTTAGACCATAAGCACTGGTTTTCTGAAAAACGTTCCAGGAGTTTTTAAACTTACTGCCAAGTTTACCATCTGTTTCTTGTTATTTCTTGCTGTGGGTCACTGGAGGGGAGCTGGAAAAGTACTATCCTGCAGTGAAGGCTGTCTGAATTGCACAAACAAATTCTGCATTACAATCGGAAACGTATGCAAAGCCTCAGATAACATCATATGGGTGGTTGGGGGGTGGGGAAAATACTTCAAGGCAACTTCATAGTTATTTTGTATTAGTCTTGTTATTACATCCTTTGAAACATTACTGAATTCCTTCCAAATCAACAATTGTAATTGTATCTCCATTTTGGATTATTTTTTTATATAGTTGCCTGTTATTGTTCACAGGAAATGGCTTTACACCAAGAGTTTGAGAATGCTGGCAAGACACCAGGGCTGATGGTGTGGCGTATTGAAAAAGGCGATCTGGTTCCTGTTCCAAAAAACCTGTATGGAAACTTTTACACCGGAGATGCCTATCTTCTGCTATACACAACACCAGGTTTTTCTTACAGGATCCACATGTGGATCGGTATGTTTGCATTCATGTTTGCATATTTAAACTTTCTTAATTTTCGAGCTTTGTAATGCAAAGTCGAACTTTCTTCTGCTTTCGGTTAGTTATTGATTAATGCAGTGTTTTGTTCCAGGAAAAGAATGCTCTGTGAATGAAAGAGGGGGTGCTGCCATTTTTGCTACTCAGATGGATGACCATTTTGATGGCAAACCAGTGCAGCATCAGGAACCCCAGGGCAAGGAATCAACAACTTTTCAGAGCTATTTTCCAAATGGACTCAAATACATGGTAAGTGGATAACGAACAGAGTTTGGTTTCCTCTGCCAAACTGTTAAACTTCCAAAGGGACTGTGCACTGTGGTCATTCTTAGCGTGAATTGTTGTGTCTGTCTAAAGAAACTGGGCTTTTGTTTTTTGGCAGTCTGTGCTAGTAGAATAACATTTTCTATTTAGAAGCTAACTCGTGTATTCAACAGGAAGAGCTAATGAGTTTTGCCAATGCTTGCCAGTTACATTAGGCTACTGATACATTTCTAACCCATGCCCTGAAGTTAAGGTGAATGAACGCTGAAATTAAAAGTACTACAATAATCCACGACTTAATATATAGATGCTCCATATGAAAAGTATTTTCTCTAAGCAAATACTCAATTTAAATGCTCCTGGAGAGGATTGGTTTAAGTGTCTTGTGCACATTAGACAAGGATAGTGTCTATATTGTAAAAATCTGTCATGGCTAATCCAGTTTTTCACTGTTGACAATTGATTGTGCAACAGGAGGCGATCTTACAGTGAAGGGTTGGCAGGAATTATCTGTATGTTGGTCTGCTTAAGGCATGTTCCAGTGTCCAGTGTCATTCAAGGAAACTGCAAAACTAAAGGAATATTGTTAGTCCTAAAATTTAGAAATACATTTTATAATTCTGTAAAATGCGAATTGTCATTTCATCTGTTAATTACATTCTACCTAATGTTTTAGTCTAACTACAGGGCCTGTAAAAAAAAGCTTTTATTTATTAACTTAATGGGAATTATTGATTTTCCTTAATGGATCGCTGAAATTTGAAGTGCAATTTAGGACTTGATGGAATTAGAAAAGGAAATATCTATTGAAGCGGCAGCTTATGCTTAATAGAGAACAAATACCTGCAGGGATTCTGGCAGATGTCAGAGAACAATCAGTTCTCCTTTTAGTTGCTCACACAAAGTCGACCACACAAAATCATACCAAACATGCATCCTGTGTGCTTTTATAATGTTGGTAGTAAATAAAGTTGGTGAAACTGTAGCAGTGTGGCGTGAAAGAAACAATGAAGGTAGTGCATTCCACCCGCCACTCTCTGAAACAAAACTCGTCACAACCGACGGAACATGACAGGAATGTATGGAAACACCATGACTTTTAAACTAGTATCTGTCGTTAGTTTCGCTCTCATGAAGACGGAAGGGAAGGTGCTAAATTGTTTAAATATTGTCCATTGACCACTTTAAAACCACAGTATATGGAACAATGACATGTTCGTATTATGTGTCAGAGGTCTTCTCAATTGAGAAGTAGCGTGTTAAATCTCTACAGGTACAAAGCAAATATCTGAAAGAATGCGGCTTCTTATATCTTGTAGGAGGGTGGTGTAGATTCTGGATTTCAGCATGTCGTCACTAATCAGATGGATATGAAGAGGCTCCTACATGTTAAGGGCAGACGATTTCCAAGAGCCACTGAGGTGCCTTTCAGCTGGGCCAGCTTTAACCAAGGAGACTGCTTCGTCATTGATGCAGGAGCAGTAAGTATGCAAACAATAACAATAACAATAATAATTTGGTCACTTAATTCACGACTGTTTGTGGGACACTGCTGTGAGCAATTGGCTGCCGTGATTCTCCCACAAAATATACAGTCAATTCACTTTGCAGTATATTCTGTGAAGTGCTTTGGGACGTCTCGAAGACGTGATAAGGCCCTATATCACATGCAACGATTATTATTATATCTTATTTTCCTTGTGTTTTAAATGAACACAATTTTTCATGTGATTTTCATTTGACTTTGCTTTTTTTTTTTACCTTTATTGTTTCTCCCTTATTTTCTCTGCCTAAGTTAACATCCATTTATTTATCCTCCGCAATCTGGGGGATAGAACAGTCCAGCACATAGACTTCACTTATGATACCAAAAAACATCAACTCCTGAGACAACCCTGAGAGGTTAGCAAGTTGCTCCAGGTCAACTTGTCAACTGCTGGTCTCATGTGCTGATGTTCTTTTGTGGTGTTCTTTTGTCTAAGCAAGGTATGGCTCGGTCACGTTTTAGGGATCCAATGACTATTGATTTGAGCTTGGATTTCCTAAACTGTTAAATGAATGCGGAGAAAAAGTGTTATCAAAGATGCCCAGCTACATTTGCATGTCCTGAGGAATATTTGATCACGGTCTACAACAAAGAGAATGGGGGATGAAGAGAGAAAAAAGTGACACCGAGTTATATTGATACCTTATTTTAAACAATATCTCTGCAAAAAGCAGAAATAGTATTCATCGCCCAAGAAGTGCATGTACCAGGTATTAGTCTTAGACTTTAAACGTGTAAATATAGCTCTTGAGAACATGAAGTGATAATTTAGTATTGTATCTGCAGGACATTTATCAATGGATTGGGTCAAGCAGCGGTTATACAGAACGTCTGAAGGCCGGCCAAATTGGTATGCATATTCGTGACAACGAGAGAGGCGGACGTGCCAAATTTCACTCTGTGCAGGAGGATTCTGAAGGTGACGACCTTATTAAAGTGAGTATGTGAGGAACATGATTACCGTCTGTAACACTAAGACTAGCAAACCGGAAGAGGACAGTTGCAAGATTGAATGTTTCCTTTTTCAATGTTCAGTTGCTGGGGACCAAACCAAAGATTCCTTCAGAGTCGGATTCTGATTGTGAAGCTGATATGGCCAACAGGAAAAAAGCCAAACTCTACATGGTAACTAACCTCTGGATTTTTTTTACACAGCTTTTTGATATTGGGTAAAATGTTTCTTGCCACTTAGCTAAAACTGCAATATAATAAAATCACCGCAGAAGTAACAACCCTGTCTTCTTGGATGACCTAATTTATTTTAGGTTTCTGATGCCAGTGGAAAATTAAAATTAACTGAGGTGGCATCTCAGAATCCATTCAGCATGACTCTGCTTTCAACCAGCGAAAGTTACATCCTTGACAATGGGCAAAATGGCAAGATATTTCTGTGGAAAGGTAAGAAAAACTGCAATTTTTTTAAAACTCCAAAAAGTAAGTGAGAGGTTATAAAAGGGATTAATTCCTGCATCTAGGAATATCCTCTCTCTGAGCTTGGAATGGTTATTCCTTATCATAGGTATATTGTAGACTACGGTTTAATGATTTCCTTTTTCAATGTTTTTCTTTGTTAATGATTGTGAAACTTGTGCAGTTTTATTTTCACCCCATTCATGTCTGTATTGAGGCAACAATAGCTCTCAGACCACATATGATTGTACCATATGTTTGCTTCACTTGCAGCACGCACCTATTTAAGGCTCTACATCCGGCACAAAGCCAATTCCCTTTCAAAAGTCGGCCTTTCATTCTTCCAGACCTTTGCTCCTTTATCTTTCTTTCAAACTGCTTTTGCTGATACTATATCTTGAATGAACAGTCTGTGATCTCTGGCATTTTTTTTTTACATTGCTTCAGAGACAATGCTGCTTTCATGCTATTTCTTTACACAAATTTGTTGCTAGCCTTTATGTGGCTACCCTCAATCAGCTTTAATAAACTGAACCTAACTAGAGCACTGCACAGTTAACAAACCTAGAATGTAACCAAAGTACACAAAGTACATGAGCTCTTAATTAATCTTGATGCATTTACTTTCAAAATAAATGCCTCAATTCAAATAAAGTATAAAACCATCCTTTTTTTTCTAAATTATTATATTGTATCTTCTTAAAATAGAGCTGCCTATCTTCAAAGTTTCTTTGTTCTTTTTTAAATCCTTACATGCATGTAAAAGCCTGTTTATGCCTTAATGTGTGGCTCGGTAGGTGCGTGCACCTCTGTACGTCCATTATAAGGTTGTAACCTGAATGTTAAGCATTTGCTCAACACAAGTGTATGTACAAGTCGGCATGGCAGGACCTGTATATTACTATTAGAGGCAAAGATTCTCTAATAGTATCAACTATCATTTGTTTAACAGACGACGGAGTGCATCACAAAAGGCAGCTTTTGTGTACTACATAGATTGTTTCCATGTAGTGCATTCAGATCCACTCATGTACAGTGAAAAGCTCATTGTAGAGAAGATTGTTTACAGGTGCAATAAACTTGAAACACTTTTTTATTACTGGTTATTGACAAAGGTTTTTATTCTTCAGATGAGTAGATCAGTATCAAAGGCCTGCACTAGTACAATCTAAGTGCTTCTAGTTAAGGGGAAATATCCCCATTTGTATGTAAGATTCATATATAACAAGAAATGATGTGATATCTATCAAATAGATGAAGACAAATAGATGAAGAGCCTTGTGTTTTAACAAGCCATTCTTTTATCAGGGAAGGGTGCGAGTGCAGAAGAACGGAAGAAAGGACTGATTATATGCAATGAGTTTATAACAACAAAGAATTATCCAAACGACACTCAGGTAAACATTCAGCGTAATTCAGCTCGTTAATATCTGGCTAGTTCTTATTGAGTACACTTCAGGAACAGCAGAAAAAGTACTGTGTTTTTGGAAGCATAATTGTATGCAGGAAAAGTGTAATTAAACTGTTTTCATTGGTGAGCATCTCAGGATTGAAAATGATTGTGAATACAGTGTTGATAATATCATCCTAATAATTAATAATCCTTGCTTTTGACATAGCGACTTTACACATTGAAACATTTCCAACTGTTCCACAGCAGTTACTGTTAAGTGTAGTGACTGTATTTGTAGATGTTGGTCTGTCTGCTTAGCGATCCTTATGAGTTTGAAATTAGGTCATTATTAGGCAACTGTATATTACTTCACAATGTCGTGTGAAATTAGTTTTAATTCCACTTTTCTGCTCAATGCAATAAGGGTTCTATTTGTATAATTAGAAAATTATATGTTTCCGTGTATCTTCCATTTCCCTATTTCGACTACACTTCCTCCTTTCAAAGACGAGGGGAGGCAAATTTTTCTCTACCACTGTAGTTCTGTTTTGTTATATGCAGTATTTGTACTGAGAAATCAGAGTCTCCCTCCAGCCCACGCACAATGTTTGCTGCTTCCCTTGTGGGCGCCAAAGTATGACATTATGTAACACGTGAGATAACCTGACAAGATGGATCCTAGGTCATAAGCATGTATTTCTGCACTGGACAGTACCAACAAAAGGACAGATTTGGTAATATAAATGCAACAATCAAGTACAACCAAGTACAACCAAGTACAACCAAGTACAACCAAGCCTTATTAATGCTTCCGTTTTAGCACCATCTATTTTGCCTCACTCCTCCTGTGATTACTGCGATTGGTATTCACACTAAGATGAATAGCACCCAGTCTCATTTATCAACCTTTTCACAACGTTAATAGTTCTATACAAATTTAATGTTGTTGTTGTTATTATGTTTGCAAACTCAAGTATAGAACTGTCTTCCTTTGCAGATTGAGGTGGTTCCAGAATATGGTGAAACTTCACTGTTCAAGCAGTTCTTTAATGATTGGAAAGAGAAGGACCAAACCAAAGGACTGGGCAAAGTCTACACCATTGGTTCCACTGCTGTCATTCAGCCAATTCCTTTTGACATATCTAAGCTGCACGGGTCCCAAACAATGGCGGCTCAACATGGAATGGTAGATGATGGATCAGGAACTATTCAGGTAATGTGACAGACACAGATTCAACCTTAGCACGGACAGTTATGTGACGCTAATAAATCTCATTCAAATGTATTCATTTGTTTCTTCCCAGATTTGGAGAATTGAAGGCAATGCTAAACAACCTGTGGACAGTTCTTTGGTCGGTCAGTTCTTTGGTGGAGACTGCTACATTATTCTGTACTCTTACCTGCTGAACAATAGTCGCAGGCATATCATTTACACCTGGTAAGTTTCTTTCATGTTCGTGAGAAATACAGAAATTCAACAATCTATGAGTCACATTTTGCCAAATAATAGGAGGCAATAAAATGTAAAGATTTTTTATTTGTTTTGGTTTAAGGCAGGGGCTTAAAGCGACACAAGATGAATTGGGAACATCGGCATTCTTGACTGTCCAACTTGATCAGGAAATGGGAGATCTGCCAGTTCAGGTATGAGTTCATCTAAATTATCTGGAACCTTCATTTCAGCTTATTTATGTATTCCTTTCCAAGATCACATTGGCAATAACAACAACAAATTACATTTGTCTAGCGCCTTTCACCTCGGGAGGACTTCCCAAGGCGCTGGACAGTCAGGGATTTGGACCCGAGCTGGCGGTTGGTATCAGGTTGGAGGGCAGGGAGGGTAGGGGTTGGATGGTGTTCGATGGGCGCGGTCGAAGAAGAGGGTCTTGAGACGTGCCTTGAAAGAGGTAATAGAGGGACTGAGGCGAAGGGACTGTGAGATGGAGTTCCAGAGGGTGGGGGCAATTTTTCCTTCTAATGTGTTTGTTTCCTAAGAAAATGAAATAAAAAGGTGCAGGTTTCCAACACCTGCTTCCAGTATCCAGTTCTATTATTGGTGCAGTTTTCCTTTTCACTTCCACTTACTAGGATGGTAAGCTTCGAAAATTAAAGAAAATTAAGAGGGTATCAGATAGAAGTCTCAAAATTCTCAAATTTGGGGGGGATTATAATAATATATAAAAAGATTATTGACACTGGTTGGTGACTGGGAGGAGAAGCAAACTCTGGATTGTCTCTGGAGGAGTTAGGGAGAGGATTGGCCTCCTCGAGTGATGTCATTTATAGTTTGGATCATTTTTAGAATTTCCTTCCTGTAGAGTGAAACTATGTGGGTTTTTTAAGATATTTGGTGCTTTTCGCAGGGTCTGTTTTGCATGATGAAGACTCGATGATCAGGATTCTCAGCAAGAATTCTCCCAATTACCTCCAGCGTGCTCAGCAAATGAGCGGTATTTAAACCATGCCGATGACATGTGGAGCCTAAAAGCCCTTTCTGTTTCCGTGTAGGTACGTGTCACACAGGGTCAGGAGCCTGCTCATCTGATGAGTTTGTTCAAAGGTAAACCGATCATTGTGCACAGCGGGGGAACCTCCAGGAAGGGTGGCCAAACCGCTCCCGCACCAGTTCGACTTTTCCACATTCGGAAAACCTCAAACGGAGCGAATAGAGCTGTTGAGGTAAGTACAAGTGGAGCCAGTTGGCATTATTAAAAGTCTGTTTGTCTCTATAAACTGAGACCCCACGTACTAATAGATTGTATTAGACTGTGGCACCGGACACCTTGTCATCATGTCACCAATACTGTCCCATGCACCTGCTCAGACTGCTCTCTCTCTCTCTCTCGCTCTCTCTCTCTCTCTCTCGAGCATTTACAGTAGTTGCTAATATTCCATTGACATTGAGAAGTCCATGAGCAAGCAGTCAGTCAGTGCTGGAAGCTGGAAGTCTGGTCAGATAGGTTCCTATGTTCTGTTGGGTTCCAAATCAATATTGATTCAAATGCTAAAAATCTAATGTTCACCTTAATGTTCATTTTTTTTTGCTGAAATTAGTAATAATTCAAAAGATGTTTCCCATTCGAATCACATTTTAAATGATTCCTTTACCTCCCTCCTGGGTCGAAAGTTATGAAAGCTGATGTGAAAAAGCAACAAAGCTCTTGATCCAAATGGTATGCTCAGATAAAATAAAACAGAATGTTATTTCAAATAGATACCCTACCAATGAGTTATCCGGTTCATTTCCTATAATTTCACTGACGGTTTAAAAATAAGTTGTTGAGTTACATCAGTTATTTGTGTCTTGAATTCCTGAGTTCTCCCTGCTCTGTTTAGATTATTTTATATCTCAGAATGTGCTAAAGCACTATCTTGTCTGGACTCTAGACTCAAACCCGACCTGACATCCTCCCTCTGACAATTGTTAAGGATTCCAATTGCCCTGCAGTTTAAAAAGAACTGGAAAAATTCAAAATTCAGACCAAGGTTAATAATTTTCCAAAATGTTAAGACCGTGAGAAATTTCAGCCGCTGAGAGGCAGACAGATTGGCAGCAGCCATGCTCCTTTGTTGTCAGCACAATGTTTTTTTCTGTCATGTTGGGCTAGTGGTCATGTTCCAGCCTCTGTTAAACAAACAGAATCTCTCTTCCAGTTAGATGTTGGCAACACCAATAGGAGTGAAAGCCATAAATCCAAGTGGTGATCAATCAGGATCCCCATCCCATTGCCTGTGAAGAACTCGCTTTTAACAGTTACAGAACTCTGTCTGCACTAAACAGCATTGAATGCTGAAGTCCTCAGTCATGTCTGACACACAGGGAAACATATTGTTGCGAGCATTAATGAATTCCATCAAAATTACTAGTTTCTACTAAGTGCTCGATAACCGCAATCCCTCACTACACGCAGTACACATAAATCGACTAACTACTGTAAAATATTACACCTCTAGCGGTACCGTGTAAACAGTGTATTTTTTGTACGTTTTCCCAGGTAAATTGTGATGCAGAGTCGCTGAACACTAATGACTCGTTTGTGCTGAAAACATCAAAGCAAACCTATATCTGGAAGGGTGTGGGCGCCAGTGATGCTGAGGTAGATGCTGCAAAGTATGTAGTCAGTGTGCTCGGCGGGAGTGAAACAGTTGTCAAAGAAGGAAGTGAACCAGGTAATAATAATAACAATCCTCACATTTGATACAACACCCACAAAACACACCGTCACTGCACATTAGGGTGCAAGTCGACCTTTAACTCAGTCTGTCTTTCAAGTTAGATTTGGATCTATAACGAGGCTCAAACTAATATGTTTTTCTGTTTTATTTTACCACAGGTGACTTCTGGCAGGCTCTTGGTGGTAAGAAGAAATACCAGACATCTGTAGCCCTCAGCAAAGAAACTCCTACTCACCCAATTCGTTTGTTTGGTTGCTCAAACAAAACCGGTCGTTTCACTGTGAGTTCCAGCACTCTTAACAGTGGAAATTATCATTTGATTTGGAAAATCTATTTTCAACCTGGTTCTGGCTTTGTTTTTCCTCCACTGTTACAATGAAGTTGACCTTTACTTTCCCACACAGATTGAGGAAGTTCCAGGTGACTTCACACAGCTGGATTTGGCAGTTGATGACGTGATGCTGTTGGACACTTGGGATCAGGTACGTTTGAACTTCAATAACACTTCAAACTTAAATTTGGATAACTTGTCTACCATGAACTCATATCTTGCATCTGACTCTACTGCAGTGTTAGACAGATGTACTCGGTGCGAGTGGTACAGGTTAATCTTACCCTCTTATTTTGCCACTCATTCTGCAGGTCTTTCTTTGGATTGGCAAGGATGCAAATGAGGTGGAGAAGTCAAAATCAGAGGAATGCGGTAAGTGCTTGTAAAATCTTTTAGGTGCTTTGAAGAGTGAGATATTTGGTTGTAGCATGTATTATGTAAGAACTTTCTTAGAAATGGAGACATAATTATGGATGTATTATTACTTACATTTTCTTTTCAATAGGAATTTATCTTTTTCCCTCCAGAGTGTAAGCATAAATAAATAGCTTGTCTGGCACATACCAAACCAACCTTTCTTCAGATCAGCTGCATTGACAAGATAGCAACTGAATTTGGCATTCTCTCACCATTCCATGACACTGCATGTTTGTGCTCCTACACACTTTATTAATATGATGCAAATTACATTGTCTGGTAACAGAATCACTAATGTTGAGATTCTACCGTTGTTAAGTCAGGCCAAGCACATCTGGGCCTGATATGACAGCATCCAGATGGTGTGACGTAATACTCTATGTTAAGTGCTTCACTGTGATGCTTCAACCGAGAGATCAGAGACTAGTAATACAGATGATTTTAGAACTTTAGCTCGGGTTTGCAGAAATAAAGTTCCCTGTTTTACTGGGGGAAAAAAGATTAATACTAGAAATTTATTCTAAAAGTAATAACACTTTTGATGAGAGATAACTAAATAAATTAACAAAAAAATTTAATGGTTGCATTTTGGATACTTATACTGTATTAATATTAATTTTCTATCTTGCAGCCAGAGAATATATAGCAACAGACCCCCAAGGAAGAGACAAAGGGACCCCGATTGTTATTGTTAAACAAGGAAATGAACCGCCAACATTTACAGGCTGGTTCTTAGCTTGGGACCCAAGCAAGTGGGATTTGAGCCCTCTGCAAAAAGCCATGGCTAAGCTCCAAAGTCACTGAGATACTTTCATGAAAAGACATTGATTGCACTGTACCCTATTTGCATGGCTTAGCTGAAAAGCAGTGCAATTGATGAATCCAGTTTCCTATTGGCAGTAAAAAAAAATTAGTAACGTTTTAGGGATTTTATGAGACTTGAATGAATTAATGTTTCTAATGCCTGATGCAGATTCAACGCTTTATTAAAATATATTAGGTTGAGCACATAATTGGGTTTCAGAGTCCCAAGGTTCCTTTCAAAATATTTTTTACNTTTTTCTCTTTCTCTGCAAATTTGCACCAGACATCTCTTGATAACTTATGTTTTTCACTTTAAACTTAGTGTCACGGTTTTGACTTGTGGGGTACAGTCAGGTAGAAAGCTTGAGCAGGTTTACTCAATTGCATTAAAACGATAATATGTGGCCTTCATTGCAGACTCCAGGTCACCATACAGTGCAATACTTGAACGCTTTTAAACACAAATTATTGACCTTGATACTTTGAACAATAAAGAGTGGAAAGTTGAGGAAAATCTTATGAAATGTACACAAAGTCAATTGGTTAGAGAGAGCTTTTCTACATACAGTAAGTGCCTGGCTTAGAAGTCAGTTCTTTTAAAGAAAATATTGGAAACTATTTTCCAAGTTAAGACTGAACTTAAGAATTTTCCACACTTCTTGTGATCTTAAAATTTTTAAGAGAAAACCTTCATTCCTGGGTGGAATTTTAAGCCTATATGATACTGCTGAGATGATCATTCAAATACAAATCTGCTAATGTTCTAGTCCGTTTATAACCCCAGATTTGAAAGATGTTAAACAATTTTCTGCTTCTTCTTGCTGCTTCTTGAAGCGCAGTTCATGTATTTCACCGTCATATATGCACAGGCCTGATGGAGATCATTGCACTGCTGTTTCTCTCACCCAATTTGTATTTTTGGCTTCTGCCAAAAGGACATTTAGCTATGGATGTTAGCGAGGCTTGTGCTGTGCTAAATTGATTAGCTTTTTTCAAGAAAGGATCCTATTGCATTGCTTTCAGATTAATGCATAACTCTTAAAGCATTACGTGTTTGTGGAATTGGTTTTAATAAATGTTTGGGATTTGCAAAACTGTTTTGACTGGTTTCTCAAAATGTTACTGCACATTTTGTGGCTTGAAAAATGGCATCTGCTGAAATCACTGGCTTATGATGGGTTACAATTTCATGGATACTGATTACCTGGTGTGAATCCACCTTAATGTCACTTTCTATTAGAGCCATCAAGTATCAGCAAACTATTCAGCCGAAGGCGAGCTTTATCCTGTCCTCACTTGACATGTTCTAAACAGATCACTGGTTCTAAATTAGCAGTAGAAACCAAAGCATCGCCCAAACAAATATCAGCTAACTCAGCACCCATCGATGATTCATCCCGAAACCCTCCTAGTTTGTTCAATTCCTGTCTACACGGGGTACAGTCATAGGGGATCTGCTGGTACAGCTCATTGTCAATGGCTTACACTGGTTTGGCACACTCAATATGAGTATGTGTATGCTGTACATAAACCTAAATTGCTTGGCTAAATTGTTAGCAATTAATACCAGAGAAAAGTTAGACATGTGTTCATCAGCCTCAATGATAGTAAAGGAGTGAGGTAACTGGTGAATGTGGGAGTACTTTGAACACTCAGAGGAATAAGCCAGACACCACACCTTACTCTGCCCACGAGATGGTAACAACATTCTTAGAAAAGTACAGTGGCTCCTTGTAAAGAAACACAATCCCTGTTAATAATTGACAAGATGCCACTCATATACTAACTAACCCTCACTTGGTCAACATAACAAAATAGCCAGAGAAGCTGTAACGGGTCACATTAGAACATTATTCCACTTGGTAATAGCGTGTCACTGTCTGATATTGTGTAACAAATGCTTCCACTGTCAAATTATTTTCCGTGATGGCCATTTGTTCATTAGAGATTATCCTTCTGATCCTGGAGATAGGCACTTTAGGAACTGCTGAGTCAATTTTGCTGTCGATTCGTGTCTGCTGCTGAGCTGCCTCAGATGCAAATCATTTCTCTTGCTCACAACAAGCACTGGAACATAGCTCACAGCATGATTCAGAAAACGGTCCTGATCGCGGGTTGCTCCTCCGGGATCGGCCTGGCCTTGGCAATCAAGCTGGCTAAAGATAACGAGAAAAGATTTATGGGTAAGTTTTGCACACAGAACCCCATCCCTCGTAGGAGCTGAGGCAGTGGCATGAGTGGAAGAGTAAGATTAGGTACAGAGCAAGAGAGTTAGCAATAGATTTGCGAATATGGTGATCTGGAGACAGAGAGTGCTACAACAACAAGAACTTACATTTATATAGCACCTCTCACAGAGGATAGCATCCCAGAGGGCTTGTAGGACAAAGTACAGGTATAGAGGGGGCAAGGCAGTTGGGACAGAAGAAGAAATAAGTGTTTGTCATGTCACTGTATCATAGTAGCTTACTACAAATAATGGTCTTTAGGCAAAGGAAACTGCCATGCCAATTGTAGTGAAATAATAATCCTTTAATGATATAATAGTACATTAATATTGATAATAATAATTAATAATACGAAATAAGATAATAATCTGACGAGGTTAGTGGACCCGAAACGTTGACTCACTTTCCTTTCTCCATAGATGCTGCCTGACCTACTGAGTGTTCCCAGCGACTTCTGTTTTTGTTTTCAGAATAATCCTGGCATTTGATATAGTGCCACATCATGTCTTCGAGATGACTCAGAAAGAATAAATATACTGTAAAGTGAATTTATTATATTTTGTGGGCAAAATGCGCACAGCAGTGTCACACAAACCATCGTGGATTGTGACCAATTGTTTTGTTGTTGAAATAATTATTACCCTCAGAATTATTACCATAGTCCCAAAAAGGAAGCTGTGATGGCTGAGTTTTCTGTTTTGTGTTAACCGAATATTTGTGATTTTTAGTCTATGCCACCATGAGGAATCTGGATAAGAGAAGAGACCTGGTGGAGGCTTCAGGCAATACTTTGGGCAAAACACTGGACATTAAACAGCTGGATGTTTACCGTGAGCAATCAATCCAAGACTGTGTCAACAGCATCCTAACAGGAAAATCGACATACTCAGTAAGAGAACCCGGTGAAACAACTTCTTTGAACCAGGTTACCAGACGAAAACAGAAGCAGTGAGTGAAATACAGAGAGGCATACACAAGAAAGACAAAAGAAGCAAAGAGAGAAAAGCAGATAAATCAATACAGTCTCTGTACAATATGGAATCATTGTGAACCATTTCTAATACCTTGTGTTGTTATTTTTCCTGTGTTTTGGAAAGGGCAACATAAGATTGACTGACGTATATGTGTGTGTATGATGGGGGTGGGAGGTGGGGGAGCGATTTGCTCACATTCACTTTGTAAATGTTGGATATTGTGTCTACAAAATTTTAACATGATGTTTCTGAAAGGTGACCAGATTTATCAAGTAAACAAAACCAGAATAGAGACTTCCTTAAGCAAAGGAAATCCCCTGGTCTTTAACTTTACTTGCAGATTTGGTACTTTATGAATAGTCTGTCGGTTATTGTTTAGAAATGACAAATAATCAGAGGCAAGGCATATATTTAAAACTGTTGTGTGCATTGCAGTTAGTAATGCTGGAATGGGAATGATTGGATCTATTGAATGCCAAACACTGGAAGAGATGAAGGCTGTCGTGGATACCAACTTCTTTGGATTAGTCAGACTCCTTAAAGAAATCTTTCCAGATATGAAAAAGAGAAAAAGGGGTCAGATTGTGGTCATTAGCAGTGTACTGGGCATTCAGGGTAAGTCACATTAAAGCGGTTTGAATTTCTTCACAATCGCTTATGATTTTAGAAAAGAATATATTTTCCAGTGTTCACGATCAGTAATAAATTCATATGTGATGTAATCTATCATTCAATTTGTTTTTCTCAGGGCATAAATTGTTATCTTTTGAGAAATCCAAACTGTTCAATTCATAAACTTAGCATCAATTTCATTTTCAGGTATTTTATTCAATGACATTTATGCTGCATCTAAGTTTGCAGTGGAAGGATTTTGTGAAGGCTTGGCTATTCAGGCATTAAAATTCAAACTGAAGTAAGTAAGAATGTGCAACAATTTTCATATTTTGCTCATTGTTCTACTGTATGTTAGAAATTGTTTTTTGATAATAATCTTTGCATTTGATATAGCGCCTTACCACGTCTTCGAGACGTCTCAAAGTGCTTCACAGAATATACTGTAAAGTGACTTGACTGTTTATTTTGTGGGTGAAGTGGGGCAGTCAATAGCACACAGCAACTGAATGTCTTAGTATAAAGGTACAGTGCATTGAAAACAGGAAGCAAGATCTTGCGAAGAGGGCACCGCAACATATGCACCTGTGCTGTTCACTCTGTGAGCTGAATTTGTAACTCTTTAGATTTATATCACACCATCTCTTATTTTACCTCACAGAATCAGTCTGATTGAGCCGGATCCTGTGGTTACTGGATTTGAAAAAAAGGTTTTTGCAGGAGGATCAAAAATAGACCTGTCTGCAGCCGACAAAGAAACAGCTGATATGTTCACGAACATTTACTTCCGTAACTACAAGGAAATATTCTCAAGTTTGGGACAAAGTGCCAATGAAGTGGCTGAGGTATGGTAATAATACAAAAAGTTTAATCTTTGCATTGAACTGCAAGTCAATTGCAAATGGAATCTTAACTTACCTTAACATTGAAAAAAGCTCAATGAACCGAAAGGATTTGTCTCGGTCTTTGGTTTCTTATGTTCACTGGGGAATTTAAGGTTAATTCCTCAAAGTTTAGTTTTACTTTAAATCAGTAATACCCCCGTGAACACAATAATAAAGTCATGCATGTTCTCGACGGTTTTGATTCTCAAATTGTCTGAAAATCACAGAGCGATGGTGGTTGAGGCCAGGTTGAATGCCAAGAGGAAACATGTAACACAAAATAAGATGAAACCAGAAAATGTTTTGTTCAGGAATGATGAGGAACATGAAAGAAAAAACAGAAGATTTGGTTTAGACTTCAAATAATGTATGTTCTCTACTCCTAGGCTCTTCCTGTCAAACAAAGCTGATAAATCATTATTTTATTGTTCTTCGTAGATCTCTGAATCATAGAATTATACAGTACAGAAGGAGGCCATTCGGCTCTTTGAAAAGAACTATCCAAATGAATCCCACTCCTCTGCTCTCTCCCCGTAGTCCTGCAAACTTATCCTTCCCAAATAATTATCCACTCCTCTCTTAAAAGTTGTTCCACCACCCTTTCAGGCAATGCATTCTAAAACTAAATCTTAAAGCTTCCAACTATTTTTTTTCCTTATTGAATGAACAGCACACAATGAATTTGCACGATAGCTAATCTAGAAGTATTTTATATTATTACAAGTGTATCAGCACAGAGAAAGGAAACTAAAATAAACATTGAGAGAAATACTTCAATCGTGACCCCTGGCTTCATGTTACAATGACGCAAGCTGATTGATAGTTGCTATTGTTCAATATAAATAATCCTACATAAATCTACATAAAGATCTTGCTTTCATCATATTAAAACACCTTGAAGTACTTCATGGGTAATTACTGTGAGGTGTAGTGACTTTTTCTAATGGAGCAACTGCAATGGATTGTCACCAAAGATTGTGAGTTCGTATTAGGGCTTGAGGGGTATGGGGATATGGTGCGATGGTGGGATTGAATTGATCTCTTTGCTGTGTGAGATGCTGCAGACTCGATAGGCTGAATGGCCCCCTTCTGTGCTGTAGATTTCTTTGTTTCTAATAACTTAACCCACAATCTTCTTTCTGACCCAGAGAACAAATGCAATGCAGAAAATATAAATAATATAGACTTTGTTTCAATGAATAAGAATAAATTCATGCTTACTTTCTAATGAAGGACAGCATCCTTTTTCGTACTTATTTTATAGCAACAAACATTTAGCATATAAAATTGAGAGAAGATAAAACACATTTAGAGAAACGTTAACCTTCCTTATATGACTGATACAGCTATATATATTTAAGATTGTCATCAGTATGTAACCATCTTCTAGCATTTACATATGACTAATTAAAAAACAGAGGCATTAGGGGATATGGGGATAGGGCAGGTAATTAGAGTTAGGTCAGAAGATCAGCCATGATCTTATCGAATGGCAGGGAGGGCTTGAGGGGCCGAATGGCCTACTCCTGCTCCTAATTCTTATGTTCTTATGTTCTTAATTTCTATAGCCACAAATCTCCTAATCGCCACAATGCACCTGCCTAATATTGACTGATTTGTAAATCCTGGTCCAGCTAAATCATGGCCTAATTATAGATTAATAAATACTGCAGCCCTGCTAGATTTGTTTCTGCCCATGAGTCCCTTTAACTTTAAAGATTATAGGAAGCTTTTTCCGGGAAATGCCAAAGAGCCTTATTACAATTGTTTTAGTTTATTCAGAGGTGGTTAATTATGCTATTCCATCTCAGACATATAATAGAAGAACACGTATCTCTTCTTCACATTTCAAAACATGACTTCTGTAAAGCATTCTACAAAAAGGGTAATGGTATAAGGCAGAGACTGAGAAATCATCAGCACTAAACAAGGATTTTATTTTCAAATTTCCGCAGAATAAGGTGACAGAATTAATAGAAAGGTAAAAAGATCTTGAGCAATATCTATACTCATTTGCAAAGTTATTTGATGATTTATTTTAAAAAGCAACAAGCACATTAAAAAATGAATAGAATGAAAGAACTGTTTCCTGCCCCTCAACTGATTTCCTTAAGACTTTGAGGCCTATGCTTGAATCCTTGCTTCTTTTTATATGACACAGAACTTTCAGCACAATGATATCGATGACATGTCTATCACACATGATCATGTACAGTAGCATTTTTTTTATTTAGCCAACACATCACAATAGATTTTTAATAAACGTAATCTTAGCATGAGATCCAGCTCTAATTTCAATCTTTGAAACGCTACAAAATCTCAGACAACCACACTACCTAATCCAAACTGTATTCTGTATAGTTGCTTATATCCCCCTCTTTACGTCTTCCTGTGCTGTGGTTCATTCTACAGCTGCAAGGCTCAGATAGTCTTGAGCTGGCTATTGATGTAGAAACCTACACTTTGTACTCATTGTAATACTCTATGGAAGTTCCTTGTCTCTGCTCACCACCTCATTGATAGCATTGAAAGAGCACAAATTTACTTCAATGAGTGCAACACAATGGTTTGCCATAAGGATGGTTCATGTCTGGTTGGTTTATTCTGTGAAATGTTTGTTTTGAGTCAAGACAGAAGAGACTCAAATAAAGCAGGAGCTCAAACCTCCTGTCATTCCCCCACTACTTATTGGTTGAAAGGTAGGCAATAGCCACGGAAGTTGCATAAGTGATTCACCAGCAGTGATCCATTTATAGAACTTTAAAACACTCTCTTTGTTGGCTATTGAAAGTTCTTTTGAGAAACAAGTGGAGCAATCCATTTCAGTGTGGCAACTTCTTTTAAACAACTGCTGATCTTACACCTGCATCAGTTACATTTCCTAAAATGACTGATCTGCTCACTTCCTATGGCTAATTTCTTACATTAGGCTCTTGGTAGCTATTGCTGTACTCCTGCCCCCTCCCCACCATAGGATGACGTGGTCTTTAAAAGGATTATCAGTTTGAGCCTTAAGCAACCAAACAACTGATGGCAAACTCGCTTTTGTATTATTATATTATCACCATCTCTTATTTTTTTTTAGACGGAATTGTCAACAGATTTAATTTTTCTCTCTGTCAGAAAACTGTAACATGACAGATTTGGACTTTTTATGCATTATGTAAAAATGAAGAGGTGCCTTAAAGTAGGGATTAAAATGCTGCAAGATCAGTTTGAGCTGTACCATAATTACAATATCATTTGCACCCAATTTGCTCCCTGCTCTCCCTTCCCCCCATAAATAATTCTCCTTTTAGGTAGCTATAGGACCCAGAATAAATCAGATGACTCATACACAGATTATTCAGAGATGTCAATTCTACATTACTGCGCTTTGTGGCATCTGCAAATGTTCATGCTCAAAAAGAAGATACACATGTTATCAGATTACAATGGACGCAATGCCACATACTGGTGCTTGTGAGTACAACTGCTGACAAGATATAAATGGGTGCGTTATTATATGCAACCTTAAATGGTTGTATTAAATTTTACAGGCACATATTTTAGTAAAACTGCTGAAACTGAGGTTTAATTCCATTCTGATGAGCACTTTGGAAAAAATTCTGCTTTATATTTAGTAGCATATTCCTAGGGAATCGCTTGTTGGCTGATTTATAGACGCAGTAACAGTATTCTCTCCACATATTTCTTTTGGGAGCTTTTCTCTGGTAACTTAATGTATTTTTCCATCATTGTGTATTGTCAATTTGATGTTTGGATCTGATTGGTTTTAAAACTTATGTACAAATATGTTTTTTCAGATTTTTTAAAAAAATATGATTAATAGTATAATATTCACTACAAATTCAAGAATTAAGCTTTAACCTGTCCCTGGTTGAATGGCTGGAGACGCAATTGCATAAAAATACAGTTACTACACTTTACAGTATGTCCTGTGAAGCTATTTGAGATGTCTGTATAATGCGAAAGATACTGTATGAAATACAAGTATTATTTTAATATTGCATCACTAACTCTAAGAATCAATTCCTTGTGTGTGCTATGTTAGCTCATCCCAGCTGCACAGCAATTATCTTTGGTCTCTGCACCGACTTGCCAATGGAAGGGATACATTTGGCACAATTTTAACTGCAGATCACTGTAAACTAACCCCTGCTGGAAGATTTGTGTTTGGACGTTAGATGAGGACAGATTGAGCTCAGCTGAGATACTCTCCATGATCAAATAGCCAGCTGGTACTCACAATGGAGGCTCACAAATGAAGAATAACATCTGTTTTATTCATTTTGTAAAACTCCTGATGAATTAACATTGCACAACTACTAATGTATCTGCAATGTATCAAAAGACCCTTAGACTTGAGCAGAGATGGCAGTAATTGTCCTAATTTAGATTAAGTACATAGTTGTTTATGGTAAATTTTTTAACCCACATACCCTGTAGAACGATACCGCTATGTTAGTTAGGTGGTTTGAGAACACGAACACGTTTAATGATTTTTCCAAATCGTTGTCGTCATATGCTTTGTCTTTACTCTGCACAGTCAGTAAATACCAAACGTTTCACTCTGACAATTTAAGCGTCTTAACAGCGTAAAATCTCTTTAGGAAAATTAAAGAAATAATGCACTCCAAGACGTTACCCTTCATGTGAAGGGAGTTACATAAATGCAAGTTGTTGAATTTTTGTGTATTTTTCAGCATCATTTTTTAATGAATCACAATTCAATGACTACGGAAATTCCTTGTGTGTGTAATAATAATAATAATAATCCTTGCATTTGATATAGCGCTTTTCACGTCGGGAGGACGTCCCAAAGCGCTTCATAGAACACACTGTAAAGTGAATTGACTGTATATTTGTGGGCGAACGCGGCAGCCAATTGCGCACAGCAATGTCCCACAAACAGTCGTAGATTGAAAATGACCAATTTATTATTGTTTTTGGTTTTTGGAGGGATTATTATTAGGTGTACACTGGTAAGGGCAGGAATTAGCTCAGCCAGAGAGAGAGAGAGATGAATGAACTGCTGATTGCCCCTCTCTGAGTTCAGCATTGACGAATTGCTGCTTGAGTGAGATATCAGAGCACAGGAAGGCACTCATGGAGCACAACCCAACTACTTGGACAATTATTGGGGGGAGGACAAGTTTGCAGGGCTGTGGGGAGAGAGTGGGGGAGTGGGATTGAATTGGATAGCTCTTTTCAAAGAGCCGGCGCAGACGCGTTGGGCCCCAATGGTCTCCGAGTGGCCTCCGATCGACTGTGGAACGCTACGATTCTGGGCGTTCGCAAAGATGTCCAGAGGATCGGTTGGGAGCGCCATCGCTCTCGCGGCCAAACTGTGATCCGTGGCCACGTTCGGTGCGACATTTTCCCCTATCGCAAGAGGCCGGGGCGGCGGCGGGTGGTGGGCGAGGAAGACACTGGCATCGCCCACGAAATAAATACCCGGTCGGTGCATCCACTTCACACGGTGCATTCTGCGAAGCGCTTTGAGACGTCTCGGAAGACGTGGTCAGGCGGGGAATCGAGCGCCAGGGATCAGGATTATTGCCGTCGTCGTCGGCGGACAACGTCGCACCCCGACTCCTCCACAGCGGAACATAAACAACAACTTTTTAGAAAAAGAAACGCACAGAGGTGGGTGTGGGGGGGAGGGGGGTAACAGGACTTTGTGAACACCCTGCAGAGCCCCTCCTCCTCCACGACCGGTGGCCGCCGCTGGGCGGCAGCACTGAGAGAGGAGGAGGAGGGAGAGGGGGAGGAGCGGGGGGGGGGGAAGGGGGAGGGGCTGTAACCGGAAGTGGCGCTTCCACGCGGACGGTTTCCGGTGTGAGAGAGAGAGAGAGAGAGAGACAAGATGGCGCTGTAGCCGCGGCGGCATGAACCGGGCACAGGAGGAGGAGGAGAAGAAGAAGAAGCAGCAGAAGGAGGAGGAGGAGAAGATTTCTGAGGTGTTTTTTTCCCCCCCCCCCCTCTCCCTTCCCTCCCTGTCTCCCTCCCTCCCGCCCGTTTCGGTATCGCCTCCAGCGCTCGGCCGGTGATCATGTGCGCGTGAGGCGGGCGGGCGAGGACTCGGAGCCCGGACAGTGACCTCGAGCGCCCGGTGTGGAGATTAACTCGAGCGGCCTTTATCCCGGGCCCGGGCCGCTCCGGCCGGCATCGCTTTTTTTATCGGAGATATTTCGCCACATCAGGACCCTTTTTTTTTTCTTCCCCCCCACACACACACACACACACACCTATATATATATAATATATATATATATTGAACTGTTTATATATTCGAGTCATGGCTTCGGCGTCTGGCAACGACGACGATTTGACCATCCCCAGGGCGGCCATCAATAAAATGATCAAAGAGACGCTGCCCAACGTGCGGGTGGCCAACGAAGCCCGGGAGCTGGTGGTGAACTGCTGCACCGAGTTCATTCACCTCATCTCCTCCGAGGCCAACGAGATCTGTAACAAGTCGGAGAAGAAGACCATCTCCCCAGAGCACGTCATCCAAGGTGAGCCGGGCTTCACCAGCGGTGGGGTGGGGGGGTGTGGGATGGGGGATACCTCCCTGTCCATTTAAAAAAAACTTTATAGCGTCTGCTTGGTAGCATTCCCCCTCCTCACCCTCAACCCACTTAGCATGTGGTCTTTGCTTACAGTGGGTTATGTCTTGGCATATCTTGGCAAGAAATAAGAGAAGTTGGTAACCGGTTCCTTTTCAGCGTGTGGGTGGTTTATTATTTGACTGGAATGCTGGAGAGATGAGATCAGATCGCCTTCAAAGGCTGCCTTCTTTGCTGTCGGTTCTCGCATCCTCTCTTCCGAAAGCGTTTTTGACTATTTCTTCCCCCACCCCCCCCTTCAGGGGAATGCCGGCGTCGCTTTCTGTATCGTCCTTTTAAATTTTGCTATTCGAACTTAGCGTCACCGGTTTTAACTCGTGTTTTGATGTTTCAACGTTTCTTTCGAAGCTTTTAAGTTTCATTCAGTCATAAAATTCTCAATTGAGTGTACGTATGGATAGAATTTGTGATCTCTCTGGGCTGGCCCAAAATTAGTTCATGATCATTTTGACTGTGATGGAAGATCTAAGAGAAAGGTTTGTTGGTACCATAATGGCAATTAGCAAAACATTGTTGATGAAAACAGAATTTAAGCCCTTTTATAAATCATAATTAACGAAGGAAAGTAAGCAACGTTGATGCTTCAGATGCACCAAAAATTATGTCAGCTTTGAGGACTCCACTATGAAATGTTGGTAAAGCTGGAGTCAGCCTGTTGATGGAATGTTAGATTTATAAAAATATACATAAATTTTAAGTGTGATTTCGGTTGGCTCTACTTGCCAATACGCATTAATTTTTTATTTAATACTCTACCGTGTAAAGAAAGAGAACATTTTTAGAGTATCTTATTGTGCTAGTCGCTCAAAGCATGACAAGTGTTACTGTTTTGTAGACAAAACAATGTACATACAAGGTTCTACAAACAGACAGCCATGAAGTGAATAGCATATTAATTTAGAATGAATGTTGGCCAAGAAAGTGGGAACAATTCCCTTATATCCCTGAGTACAATTTTATGAGGTATTTTTTCTGCCTCCATTAATAATCATTTACTAGTGGTTCCTTGAAGGTGAGTGTTTTCACAATGCAGGAGGAAGATTTGTTTGTAAAAATGTGCTCAAAATGTGAACTGTGGCGGTTACTGTATACACTATCTGGCAAAACTGGTCAGTCCCTTTTCAGTCTTCAAATGTGGCTGCAAAAAGGTCATGTTGGCCAGATGCAGCAAGAATTGGTAAGGAGTTACAATGACCACATAAATACATTGGTCGTTGATGTAAAAATCCGGCCATTACGTTTATTCTGATTAATCTTCAAACTGCAAAATGCAAGCGCTCAACCAATGATGACTACAAACGTATGTGAGTACATCAGCAATCTTTAGAATAGGACCCAGTGCTCTTGTGTGAGTAGTCATATCTTGTTCGTGTGTGTTAGTTAGTGTGTAAATACAGTAAACTCTGGATAACTCGTCACTCTAAAGGAAAGGGCTCAGTGGTGAGTTATTGTGGAGGTCTGTAGCTTAGTGGTTAGAGTACTTGTCTTGAAAGCGAGAGGTCCTGGGTTTGATTCCTGGGCAGGGTGAAACGTTGGACAAATTTCCTTACCCTACACACCTGTGTTCACCTAGCAGTAAGTAAGTGGTAACCCGGTTGTTAGTCGATTGGTGGATCCAGGGATAATGTGTTCAAAAATGAAATTGGTTCTCACTCAATTCATGACTTTTTGTGGGACACTGCTGTGAGCAATTGTCTGATGCGTTTTGCCCACAAAATATACAGTCAGTTCACTTTACAGGATATTTTGTGAAGCGCTTTGAGACGTCTTGAAGACGTGGTAAGGCGCTATATCAAATGCAAGGATTGTTATTATTATCTGATAGCTAGATCCTCCCTCCGGCCACAAGGAACGGTCTGAGCATGTTTTCACCAACATGTGCTGCAGGGCCTGTGCAGAATGAGCAGCTGTCAGTGTGATGGAGTGGCCCCAACCCCTGCTCCAGGGCCATTTAGAGCTGCTGTCTTTAGCTCAATCAGCCTGCATTCGCTCGTCATGGACACCGCATCTGAGCATGCATGCCCAACCTCCGCTGAGTGCCCACAGCGGTCGCAGCATAGGACAAAGTGCGGCTGTCCTATAGACCAGAGGCCTCTGATGCAACCTCTGACGAGCCCCCACATTGTAATGAGCAATATCAGTTGCTCATTAGACAGCATGTAAATTCTTGGGATCAGGAACTTAAGGAAAGCTTTTGTTTATTGCTGTGTTGGTAGGACTGGTTTGAAGCCTCAATATTTTCTGTTGGGTCTATTTAGCAGAAAGGCACAAGGGGGCTTCTGCTATTCACTGATAACTGCAGAATCGTGATGCTACTTCAAGATATGAAGATTAATAAAACCAAAACAGAGCAGTGTTGATTGAGTACCTGAAGAAGCCAAAGAAGAAAAGGGAAAGTAAACCAAAGTAGAAGTGAACCAGCTGTCCTGGTCAGTTCGTCACTCAAATAAAAGGCCATTTTTGCTAACTTGTCCAGTTATTCAGTTCTTTTTTTAAAAAAAAGTCCTCATCCTGCTAATCGTTAGTTCTGCACAATTCCTCCTCTTTCCCAGAAAGTGGGTGGTCTGGGCTGTCCGACAAAGCAGATGCCATCAATACCACTTAATGAGAGAAGAGATCAGCCTCTCGGGCATGAATGATCCCACTAACTATTACTCTCCCTACATTACTGTGCATCCAAATAAGAGCTGATAAATTATAGCCATTGTAAAGTGGTTACAATGGCCACGATCAGGATATGACATCAGACCTTCTGAATAGGGATTCAATGGCTCTCCTCTGAGTCACATCTTTCCGTGGTTACCTGAACGTTCCCTTATTATTCAGTGATAAACACAAGATTTGGGGCAGTAATGTTGTGGTAAGAGGCAGTTGATGAGTAAAAGACTCCTTTTTTTTATATACATCTTAAACATTTAATATTCTTTGAAAAGTCTGATTCCCATTTGCACATAAAAACCACATGAGGAGAAATTGGCATGTTTTTTCACAGAATGTTTCTTTTTCAGCTGGTTTTAAGCTGAAAGTTGTTGAATATACCAAAGAGCGTGGAAATCCTATAGAAAGACATGATGTGAGCAAGTGCAGCGTTCGTTTCTGATGAAAACAAAGTTGGGTAGGTTTTTTTTAAAAAAAAGAAACTGCCAAAATTATTTGGTTCCTGGTGACCAGGATTTTAAAAAAATGCTTGGGAAAGGCGTAATGAAGAATTGGCTATTCATATTTCTGCTGATTCAGCTGAAATCAAATGTGTTAATGATTACAGTGATTGTTGTGTGAGATTCTTCATTCTAGACAATGATATAAGCGGTAATAACACAACGTACGTAGTGCTATTAGGGACTTGGAAAGATTTGCAATTTTTTGTCGACATAGACAAGTGTTGATATAAATGGGCTCAAGATAAGTAGGTAGCACTGTACTTTCTTACAACTCCTCAAAGGAAGCCATCTATCTCTTTTAGCTTAGGCCCAGGCTTAAACATTTTGTGATTTCCCCCCCATGATTGTAGGTAAAGTTGAAAAATTTCAGCATTTGGGCTTGAAAGAGAAATGTTTGCTTCAGAACTTCCTTCCAGTTCTTTACACAGTGTCTATTATTCAGACTCCTGTTGGGCATAAGTTGCAACATGCTGGCTGCATTTATTTATGGTGGAGAGATTTAAATAAAATGCTCGTCATCTGTTTTGGTTACATTCCTCTTTGTACATCATTTCCTCTTTAACCAAGCATAGGAGAGAGACAACAGATGCCCATCTTTTAATGAGAAAATGATGTTCCCAGATGATGGAAACAGAAGTTTCTTATAGTTTTTCCTAGCATTAAATTATAGAGATTCTGTTGCCCTTGCATAAGTAACAGGTACTGAGTTTTCATTTTCTATCTAGACTACTGCATAGCAGATAAGACGGTACATATTAATTCTAGCGATTAGGTGCTGTAAGGGGAAAACCCGCTGCATATTTTAGATGTTTAGTTTCTGGAAGACTAGATTTAGTTGATTGATTGACCAGCAGAATTCTATATTGTAATGAGTTTTCAGATTGTAGAAGAGTAAACTGTTAATAGTCACATCTTGCTGTGATATTTTTGTTTGAAATCTGTGAAGTACATTGACAATATAAATGTAATATTTTTAATTTTTAGTTTTAAAAAAACGATCTTGCCACCATCAATGAGTATGTATTTAAATATTTAAGTCCCTCACATGTTTATAAATATCATGGAACTTGTATTGCCTTCAACTCAAAGAAGCATGTTAATCTTGTATAACTCTGTTTGAATAAAATTGTTTTTAAGATGAAAGTGCATTAAACTGACATGTGAAGGTTAATGTTAATTCATGTTTTGGTGTTTTTCATATCAGTAAGGACAAACTTGTCATCTCAATTTAAATGTCGTAAATCGCATTACGACAATTAGGTATTACAGCTTTGAGACTTTAGTATATTAACAATTCCATGCCTATTCACATATCTGTATGAAAATGCTGCTACAATATTCTTCAATGGATTTTCAGTGTTTATAGCTCATTACTGCAGTTTCTAGTAATGTAGAATAAAAGCTAGCATGGACGTATAGAACAAATCACTACTGTATTCCTATCAAAATAATGTATATTGACATGGAAGAGGTGCGCTGCCCATATTTTTAATATCTGGCCTTCGGTTCACGATGATAATGAAGCTTTGTAACCTTTAGGCAGTTTGGTAGATGTTGTTTAAAACAGTTGCTGTCCAACCTGCGTAATTCATAATTCCAGTTATTCATGAGTAGCTAAACATATGTTAGTGTAATATACCAAAATTAACATATGTCTGGTACCCAAAGTCTGCCAAGCCTACGGTTCCCTAACATGTATAAAAGTATTATCACAGCAAAAGTAGCCTTTTTTCTATAGTATCAATTCTTTAAAATTGTACCGGTAAGTGATGGGATCTTAATAATGCTTTCATTTGATTATGGTGTCTATAACATTGAAATATTTCAAATTACTTTACAGGTGATTGTGCAGACTGTATTTGTAGCCAAATGTCTATTGATATCAAGGTTATGATGTGAAATGCAATTGAGAATTTTGTTTTCATCTGAATGCAAAAAAGTGATTAAACCACATGTTGTGTTGCTTCTGTGGTTGTGAGATAGATGAAGAGATAAAATAGGTTAAGAAAGGGTCATTTTTCAGGATACAGGAGATATATAAATTGCAATTTCATTACTTGATCCAGGAAATGATCAGAAAACAGTGTCTTGAGCACCTTATGGAAGGAATTGTGAATTGAAACCAAGTGGCTTATCTTTGCAGATTCTAAATTGTTCAGTCCATGAACATAGTAGCAGACATTTTCAGCACAGAAGGGTTGTGCTGGGGAAGAAAAATACTCTGGAACAATAGTTAGATGCGTACTTGAGATAAAGTCTAACCAAATACTGATGCTTATCTGATTTTTTTGTTTTACAGCACTGGAGAGCCTTGGGTTTTGCTCCTATATCAGTGAAGTCAAGGAAGTTTTACAAGAATGCAAAACAGTAGCACTGAAGAGGAGAAAAGCGAGTTCGCGTCTAGAAAACCTTGGCATACCAGAGGAGGAACTATTGCGTCAACAACAGGAATTATTTGCGAAAGTAAGTATAATATTTGAAAATAAGTCTTCCGTACTGGACTACTAAATAGTTGTTGCCACTTATACAATGCAAACTTATCTCCCAGATCAAAATGACTCTCTTGGAACCAGCATGCTCTGATGATTTGTATTATGTGAAAAAATGAAGTAGGAAAGGGAGAGAAGGGGAAGGGGAAAAGCTGAATCTAAACTTAAAGGATTAGAGTTTCAGTTGGTTTCCTTAGATGGACATGGGATGGATGTGTGCATTTGTAAGTGAAGGATGAATGAATGAGGAATTGATCATTCACAAATATGTCTATTTTTACAGGCCAGACAACAGCAAGCAGAATTGGCCCAACAGGAATGGTTACAAATGCAGCAAGCAGCCCAGCAAGCGCAGTTAGCAGCATCAGCAACAACAAATCCAGTCAACAAAGCAGGATCATCACAGGATGAAGATGAAGAGGATGACATGTAAACATCACTGGCACATTTACCTGTGCATAATATTCTTTTACTGCACACTAACAAATAACTGGACCTGTCTGCAGTCTCTGACTTAGTACACAACTTGGCAGGCTGGCTATTGGTGTCATTAGTCAAATCACAACTGTCATGTGGTTCTTTCATGTGTAACAGCCAATCATTATATGTAAGCAAGTGCACAGGATCAGAAGTTTTCATAAAATAACAATTTAATATGTCTGAAACAAACGGGTGTTAAGGATTAGGGGCAACAAATCAGTGCAGTGCTATAAGGCTCCTCAATCTGTTTCTTGTGTGCTCCTGGAAAATCAGTATTGTTACTGCTCATGAATCTGAAGGTTAATGCTTCAGTTTGCATTGCCAGTTGCTTCTTGACTTGTTTCTGAAAGCAAACTTCTTAAGTGGCTTATTTAAGGTTGCAATTGATTTTTTTTTAAAAGTATGTATGAATTGTAACCAGGGGTCAAAAGATCTGCATCCATAGTCCAGATTTTCTTTTTTTTAAAAAAGAGTCTGATTGGGATAGTTGACCTTGTTTTAAAGAGAAACCTTATTCGCTTTGATAAAATGCTCAACAGATCTACAGTAGACTATTTGCGTCTTAGATTTTACATTGTGTACTTTTTAAGGACCATGGGGCTCTGGATCGGTTAGTTTCAACTCTAGGAGGATAATGTAAGCTCTATTTTCTGGACGTCGAGATTAAAAACAACTTGTTTTTATTAGCAGTTACAGTACCAAAGAGTGAATTCAGCAGCGGGAAGCTTAGCAAAAACATGAGGACACTCACATGTATATTAATTGCTCCTTAAATGTTTTAACTGTTTTGTACTGTAATGTTTCCTGTTCTTAAAGAAACCTATAAATGTTGACTTATGTTTAGGGGTTGAGGACAAATTTCACTTTGATTTTTTGGGGACGATTTCTGATGCAGAGGAAGTGATTATTTTTTAAATTGCATTGTGATGTTGATTGTGCTGAGTGATATGTGACTTCCCATGGTGCTTGTTCTCTTGCATTTTTCACGTGCTGGTTTCTCTAGCAATAAAAAGACAGGTTTTATTAAAAATACTAAAACTTGTACACCAGTTTGACTTTTGTCTGTACCCAATTTTTGACTGAATATAGATTTTATTTCCTGTTAAAAATCCATTTAGTGTTGATTGAAAAAAAGTTATTTGTTCTTTTGCACCAGATACCGTTCTGCAGTTGAAGTAGCGGATAAAGAATATGCTTCAGTCTTAACTCTCAATATGGAATTATCCATAATAATAACTTAATCCTTGCATTTGAAATAACGCTTATAATGTCAAATATCTCAAAGCACTTCACGTAGTTTCTGTGAAATGTAGTGATTGTGCATTTGTAAGAGATCGGTGCAGCCAATTTGCGCCCAGCGAAGTGTGAGTAACAGCTGTGAAGTAAATGACCAATTTTATCTGGAGGATTGTGACCAGGACACAGGGAGAAAGTCCTTTCTTTTTTTGAATAGAAGAGGCAGACATAACCTTGGTTGAACTCTTTATGCTAAGGACGGCATCTGTGATAATACGGTGCTCCCCCAGCACTGCATTGGAGTGTCAATGACTGCTTCTTACATTTTACAGCAACTGAACTAAGATAGCTACTCTTCCCATTCTTTTCATACAATTAATTGGATGATTTATTTTGATGTATTCAGTGTTGACTAGAATTATTTAAAGCTGTATAGCAATCTATAACTACAATGTATTTCTGTAAGATTGTTAGAAATCCTGGGAAAACACTTTCAATTGGAGGGTGATGGAATGTGTTGCTATGCTTTTTGAAACTAAGCTGTTAAACAACTTTACGATAAGTATTTAGAGCGTGCCTGGGGGAGAAAAATAGGATATTGGAAAGTTTTTTTTCCACGTACAACTTTTGGAGTAAAATTGTTTCTTTGAACATTGTACTCCTGATTTGAAAGGCGCTCTAGAAATGTATACTGTATGATATTGGTTACATGAAAATGATATTCTTTGTGGACGTACTTGTAGTTTAAAGTACTTTGGTTGAAAAAAGGCATGAAATATTAGAAATGTTTGCAAGAATTGTACCATAGCCTGGGCTCCATGTTATTTGGCATTGGTCGCTTTGGATCAGTATCAAGAACCCGAAAGTGTGTCGATTCTGAATTAATGCAAGCACTCGTTCACTTAGACTGTTAGTGATGACAGCTGAATGTGTATAAAAGTACTTAACTTGGGCATGTTGGCTTCTAGATAAATTGTGATTAATATGCATTGTATTTGATTGATTACTGGCGTTTGCTGTCAGGCATGGACTGAAATTAACCGAATATATTCGAGAGAAGCGATCCTTTTTGCCTGTGTTGGTGAAGCAACTAAACATATATTATGAAGGCTCCATGAAGGAGCCTTTCCAATGGCATTACAGCACATTCCAAAAATAACTGGATTCTGGTAACCACTATCCTCCTCCCCACCACCCCGCCCCCATATTGATACAGAATAAATCTGGGTTAAACGGTATTCGCAACATTTACCTCTACATAAAATGTCACCTTTAACTGTGGAGACTCTTTTCATCCATTTTATGCCTATCCTTGAGAAATGCTTTGATGAATGCATTTCCATCTCCGAAATGGATTGAATTCAAGATTCTTGACCTTGCATTCTAATCTCTCCATGGACTCGCCACAATCTCCCTCTGTACCTGTGATCCTATTGCTTCAGATACTCCCTCCACTCAGCAAACACTGGGCTGCTTCATATCCCCTGCATGCTATGAGGTGGGTGAGCCTTCAGCTGTTCTGCCCATTCGTTCATCTTGGTTCAAGTAGTTAAGGAATGGATTACTCCAGAAACCCATTAAATTGTATAAGTTGCATTAATCTTATCTAATGCAGTTGCAAGTTCATTGTCTTACATTGTTTTTGAAGACGCCTAGATCTGTTTAAAATTACAATATACGAATTGCAGTCGAGTTGATTTTAGAAAACAGTGGGTTTTTTTTGTAAAGGGGGGTATTTATGCTTAATGTGAACTGGTTGGCTATTCACCATGAAGGGAAGGAGCCATCTCAGTCCGGGAAAATCTATCAAGTGATGTTTACACAATCACACCTCCAGCAACGGATTTGGAGTTTCCAGAGTGGGCCATTTGGCTGATTTTCACTTCTTTCACTGGTGCACTGAAGCTAGCTGTAATATAATATTTTATTTTGCATAATATTAATAATTGTAATAATAACAATAATAATTTTGGCTTTTAACTAACAAACAATTTGTGTTCACACCTGTAGGTACTTGGCTTGGGAGAATAAGTTCCACATTGAGGTGCAGAACAGGAGAAAATCATGTATTTTTCACCTCTGGCTTTCAGCCCCCCTCCCCAAGCTGTGGAGTCTTGTCAATTGCTTGAAACTTTATTAAACCAAGAGAAAATCCAAATATTTCCAATGTTTAATAAATGTTTTCACTGCATTATATCCAGATATTTCAGTTCTGAAGTGTGCAAGAGTTACAGCAGTGATCTCCATTCTCAGCTGTTTGAAAGGTGTGTTGGATTGTGTGGAATATCGTTTCTCCATACCAGAGACTCCGAACAGCTCAAAAGAAGGAATTACATGATTGATGTATAGCTCTATATCAAGTAAAATGCCTGGCAATAAGTGAAGGCTGTATGATTAGTAAAATATTCAAATGTTATTGTTTAGCTTTGTGATGGGCTGAATGGCCTGCTCCTGCATTTCCCTGTTTCTATACACAGAGTAGATTCAAAATTGTCCCGGTTCGTTGCATGCTGGCATGCTTGCTAAGTTGTTTTGATCTTCAATAAACGGCTTCCTTTTTTTAAAAAAAACCCTAGAGAATATTGACTGCACTTATTTTTCTCAATTCTGTCTTGTTTAATGCCTTCAAGGATAAAATACCTGGTAAATTGATTGAGATTTTCAATTTCCAACAATCTCGCATCTAATAGCGCTTATTTTTGAAAAGGATGATGAATTGGTGATGTATTTGTTGATTATGTTCTTTTGATAATTCTTGAAAGAAAATTGGAGGAAGTTCCCTCAATACTATATGGTGCTCGGTTTGTGTACTGAGCCTGGGAATTCAATCTGTCTCCGGAGATTATAGCGTCAATCTTGTATCTGACCCATCATTATTCTTTGGATTTCACTATGTGTATGGAAAATAACATTTTGTGTGTTTATTTTGTATATATATTTCGATGACACAATAGGCAGAAATGGAAGCAGTTGTAATGATGATAAATTGTCTGTCGTGAAATTTCCCACGGTGGTTTCTTACGGTAAATGTTCTGGGTTAATATTAGGAAGCAAATTAGCTATTTCACATGATCTAATGAATGCTCCAGTATTTAGTTCAGTATCTGATGAGCAGTCCAAATAAGTTGATAGGACTGAGTCTCCGAATGCCTGTTCATTTCACTGAAATTCTCCACTCGTCCCAAAATACAGTCAGTGTGGAATGAGACATAGAAAATAGCTGTATCAGAAAAAAATCACATCTTCTGAGGCTGCATCAAGAGAAAGTTTCCCAAGTATGGGCCCCTTTCCTGGCCTGGGGCCAGCACCTCAGCAATACTTCCTGCAAAGCCAAAGTATTATGCGAGGGACATGCATCACTGCACCAATTATGGAAACTCACAAACCTGTAATGGCACAGCCAAAGCCTACCATTGTTGCAACTGGCAAATACAGCATTACCTCCCCATATTGCTATTCAACCCCTGTCCAGTTTCCTTCACATAAACATCTCCAGCAGTTCCATTGTGTTCTGGGTAATACAACATGTGTTAATCTCAGTCTCCAACTATCCGTTTACCTCCCATATACTTTCCTACCAGATACTTTCCCGTCTTTCTTTAAATGAATTGTTAATCAAGAATTAACTGGTTTTGAGATCCTGTTTTGTGTATTAATGCTCTGGGAAAACCAAGTTCCTCTCATTTCGCTTAAGGGTTGTTCATTTTAAATCTGTTTTCAGTGGCTATGAGCTTGTGGTCTAAGTTAAATAACCAGTCACTGTAAGCATGGTTGAAGAGGTATGCTTTTAGGCAGATTTTGAAGAGACTGAGGGGTGACGCAGAGGATTGAGGGAAGGTTCCAGAGAGTGGAGAATAATCATTTGCCACTAAGTATTACTGTAATACTGGGAGATTGTATTAAGATAATGCATAATCCATTTTAGAACTCCACAAATGAATGTTGTAACTACATTGTTTACATAAATTGATAACGCTATCAAGATATTACCGAGTTTACATTATAAAATCCTTAAGACTATGAAACTAGTGTTAAATACTTATAAAAAATGACCATCAATCTGCTGGACAGTCACTTAGAAATGACCAGTTTTTCCAAATGGTTTGTAATATAGGTAAAACTTCTAAGATTCAATTATTTATAAATGGTTATTGAGAAAGGGGAATTTCAATTGAAACAAATGAAGACGGATATCAGCTTTAAATGTGTTTTTAGTTTACTTTGAGCATACCAGCTGCAAAGAGTGAATTTAGAAAATTCAATATTATCTATGCCATTAAATCACCTGCTCGTAGCATTCCAGGGTACCATGCCCTCAAACAGATGTTTAAACAATAGAAAGGTGAGTACAAAGTTCACATGTGTGATCTTGTGAATTATTTATCTGAAGACATTTATCACCAGTTGCTTAGTAACAGTAAAGTGAACTTGATAAGCACTGAGTACCCTTTGCAACCTGTAAATTAAGCACTTATTTTCGAACATATAACATTTGTAAATGAATACCATGGTGATTCATTGCTTCGGAGCACAAGAGTATAGAGTAATAGGATGCTGCTTTGTGCCCATGATTCTGTACCCAATGATTTACCAATTTTAGGTCACTTCAGGAGATGTGGCAAAGACCTCTTTAGGTCACAGAGCCCAGAAGCAAAGAAAAGAATGTGCATATCAATTAAGACAGTATTTGGCTTGGCTGGAATGCCCCTCAGGCTGACTCCTGGCCCCAATGATGGAGAAGTTACTTGATTGCGATACTGTAGGGCAAGTGACAATGATGGAATCAGAATGCAATCATGAATTGGTGCCTTTTGGATGACATTAAAAAGAAAATAATAAAATCTAAAAGTAAGTTTCCTTTCAGTGCAATTTACCTCCTTTTTATACCAGTCAACATATGCACTTATTAAATTATTACTCATCTTGCATGAACTTCTATTATCCATTTGCACAAAATTCTCTATCCTGTGTCCCTTCAACTGTTTCACCTTCTGTTTCTATCATCAAAGAATCTGTTTCTTCATGTCTTTTAAGGCCTTATTTGAGTGTAATATTTTGTTCCCTCAAATAAATTATTTGAATTCATTTTCTTAAACAATATGTCTCTTAAGTATTGCCATTTGTTTTGCATGTATCTGTGTTTCTGTTATACATGTCTTAATACAAATAGGAAGCTAATTGGACTATAATTCCGAAGAATTGTGCTCATTTTTTAAAAAATTGGAATAATGTGAGCTGTTTTCCAATGTTTTTATATCATGTAAATCAGCTACATCACTTACACACCATTCTGCTACTTCTATCCTTGTTCTTTAAGTACTTTTGGATGCATTTCATCTAGTCTTTGATGCTCTATGAGTATTCAATTCCTCCAGCTGCTTATTGCCCATTTAATTACTAGATGCATTTCATCCAAATGTCTGTTAACAGAGCTCGAGAACGTTCTCTTTGAAAATGGAATTGCTAAAACATTGTTTAGTGTTACCCAATGTTGGCAGCGTAAACTCTGTATCATATACATTGACCAAAATCAATATTAATCCTTTAAAATTTAAGAAGTTGTGTTTATCCATTTTTAAAATTCAAATTAAAAATCAATGTAGTGATTAAAAAATGTATCTTAATGCTCTTTGTGTGTCAGACTGGCTCAGTCGGTAGTACTCTTACCTCTGAGTCAGAGGTTGTGGGTTCAAGCCCCATGTTAGGATGTGAAACTCATATAGGCACTCCAAAGTAGTGTTATGGGAGTGCTACATTATTGTAGGTCATGTCCTCCGGAGGAGATGTTAAACAGCTGTCCTGCCTGCCACTGTGTTCGTCCACAAAATACACAGTAACCCCACTTTCCAATAACTCCAGTGAAGCGCTTTGAGACATGCTTCCGATGTGAAAGGTACTATATCAAATCAAAGGATTATTATTATTTAATATTATTACTTCATAATCAGCACAATATTTCTTGTGCTGTTGTTTGCCAGGCTTTGTTTGTTTATTTATTAGTGTGCTTTGTCTTTTCCACTAGGGGGCCATCATGCTTTCTGGAAGATCTGCTATTTGTCATAAATAAAGCTCCCTGTTATGAACTTGGACTGAAGCAAAGTACAATTTAAACTGAATCGCTGGTGAATTTTGGTCTTGTAGAAAGGTTTTATCTCTGTATAACTAATATTCTTTGTTCACCTTGTTAGTAATTGCATGATTGTTTTCCTATCCAAGAATGTTTAGGATTAAACTTTCTTAAAAATTAAATTTACTTTCTCAGCTATTCTTGCAAACTGTACCTGTAGAGCATGGATTTCAAAGTGTTAGATGCTGATATTTCAAAGCATAATCTGTGGTTGTTGAATATGTTCACTCATTGCTGAAGATAACATATTATAATAATAACGATCCTTCAATTTGATATAGTGCTTTTCACGTCTTCTAGAAGTCTCAAAGTGCTTCACAGAATATACTGTAAAGTGAATTGACTGCATTTTTGTGAGCGAAATGCAGCAGCCAATTGTGCACAGCAGTGTCCCGCAAACAGTCGTGGATTGAAGTGACCGATTTATTATTGTTTTTTTCTTGAGGGATTATTATCAGGCGTGTGGAGTAAGGAAACTTGCCCATGGTTTTGTCCTGTCGGGAATCGAATCCAGGTCTCTCTCTTGTGAGGCAAGTGCTCTAACCACTGAGCTACAGGACTCCACAATTTGTGTTACTTACAGATCAATCAAGTCCATATTTATGCACCTTCATTTGCAGCATGATTTTTGGGTGGGGAACTGATCATTCTTTAAAGTTGCAAAGGGACGGCCAACAAAAAGACATAACCTGGGAGATGTAATCAAATGAAGATGAATACGTGGAATGATTATTAGGATTTAGTTATGCTCTATGTAGCGTTAACAACAACAAAATGACATTTGTATAGTGCCTTTCACATCAGGAGGACGCCCCAGGTCGTCCCAAGAGGATGTCCAATAAATTAATATTTATTTACAAACTAGGTTTGTCACAAAGATACCATCATGTTACCTCTGACCTGCACCAAATACAATATCAAATTGGCTTAAGCATCTTGTGCAGCTGTCCTATTCAAGGGAGAAATATGAAGTACGTATGAAGTAAGGTATTTGTGTGTGCATGATATTAAATATTTGCTCCGATCCTCATTTTATCATGTATGAACACACCTTTGTTTCTTAAATAACACCGTTTTTAAAGGAAGATTCTATTTAGTTACCGTACAAGATACTATGTTTGTATGTTCCTATCTACTTCGTCGATTTTATATAATTTATATATTTTATATATTTATTTCGGGTCCTGACCCAACTGTACAGCGCCTTGGGACGTCCTCCTGACGTGAAAGGCGCTTTATAAATGGAATCTTGTTGTTGTTGTTGTTGTATAAGATTTGTGCCTTGGGGCACCTTACTAACATGCGTACCGTTTCTAGGTACACCCCCAACAAAAAAGGATACTGCATGTGAACAACTAGTGTATTCCTACACAACATGCACGTTCTTCTTCAGTATACACCTAATGAAACATTGCACATTGCAAGTCATTCTGCCACCCGAATGCCAGTAACTCCGCTCCACCGTTGGCGGTCGTGCTTTCAGCCGCTACACCCCCGAAGCTCTGGAACGCCCTCCCTCGATCCCTCTGCCGTGCCCCCTTCCCACTTCCAAATCCCGTCTTGAGTCCTTCCTTTTTGACCGTGTGCTTACGGTCACTTCACCTCTCCCCTGACTCTGAGTCAGACTTCCACCGCTGTCCGGGACGCTACCTCGGGCGAAGGGCACTGGACGGACTCCGGTTGTGGCGGTGAACGGCGACTGGTTCTGACGACAGGTCACCAACGTGCCCGCCCGACTGACCGCCCGCCCGACTGACCGCCCGCCCGACTGACCGCCCGCCTGACCGCCCGCCTGACCCGCTGCTTGAGTGCTCCCTGTTTTTTTTCTCTCTCTCTCTTAACGTACGCGCCAGTCAATAAAGGTGCGTTGGGGGGTGGGAGTGGGGGGGTTTCGCACAGAGTGAACATTAAGAAGGTGATTTCCCCATTGGTCGCATTCCAGGAGAGAGGTGTGAGTCACAGGGGAATGGGTGGGGGGGGGGATGTGACTCACGTGACACTCCCTCCGCCCCTCCCCTCCCCCCCACCTGGTCCCTCCCCCCCCCCCCGCCACACCTTTACCCACCGGCTCCAGCAGCCCTCCAATCTCAGGCAGACGGGTCCTCCTACATCCCAGCCTCCCCCGCGAATGCAAATGAAGCGTTCGCCTGGAAGGAGGGGGAGGAGGACGAGAAGGACGACGACGATAACGACGACGGACGGACGGACGGAGGGGAAGGAGGGAGTCAGTCAATCGGTCGGTCGGTGAGGGAGGGTTTCGGCGACGGCGGATGAACGTCTCTTTTTTTTTTGAAAAAATTAAATTAAAAAAATATTAATAAAAGCAAATATTTTTTTTTAAAACTCGCCCGTCCGCCCGCCCGCCCCCACCCGCCGACGAAAAAAAAAAGAAAGAGCACGAGAAGAACGAAGCCGCGCAGCCGCCCCCGGGGTCCAGTTTTGAAAGCAAAGCCGAGCGCCATGAGCTGGGGCACGGAGCTTTGGGTGAGTGAGTCGGTGGTAGTTTTTTTTTGGGGTGGTGGGGGGGAGAGGCCGAGCCAACAGCGACGCGGCCGTTGTTGTTCGCCGCCCGGTTTGAGGGGAGATCGGGGCTCTACCTCAGCGCCACCTCACAACGACGAAGGGCGCCCGCACTGCCCTCCTCTCCCCTCCCCTCCCTCCCGCTTGTCTTGTCAGCCCCACAACAATACCAACGGCTCTCCCTTCCTCCCTCCCTCCCTCCCGAGCCGAGCGGCAAATGTGGGGGTGGGATTCGCACCCGGTTTTATTTGTGTCTTTTCAGGGGGTGGGGGAGAGGGAGAGAGAAAGAAGAGGTGGTGGTGGTGGTGGTGTGGGGTGTTCTGTTCTGTTCTGTTCAGTTTCGAGCCCCATTCGACGCAAACCGTCTTCTCAAGTGTCGTGTTTGGTGGGAGGGGGAAGAGTGTGGGGGGTGGGGTGGGGTGGTCGGGGGGGGTTTGTTGTTGGTACATTACACCTGAGGGCAGTGGGGGGGGGGGATTTTTTTTGTCTTTCCTCCCCTCCTCGTTCTTCTCCCCCACTCCCCCCTCTCTCTCTCCTTCCCCCCCCCTCACTCTCTCCGTCCCCTATCTCTCACTCTCTTCCCCCCTCTCTCACTCCCCCTCTCTCTCACTCCCTCCCCCGCCCCCCCTCTCTCACTCTCTTCCCCCCCCCTCTCTCACTCTCCCCTCTCTCTCACTCTCTCCCCCTCTCACTCTCTCCCTCTCACTCTCCCCTCGCCCCCCCTACTCTCTCCCCTCCTCCCTCTCACTCTCTCTCCCCCCCCCACCTCGAACTACCCCCTGTTTTTTTACACACGGGGTGGGTGTGGGGGGGGGGGGGGGGGTGTTCGTTGCTCGAGTGGGAGCTTTTGCTGTGCGTTGCACAGTGTCTTTATTGTGCTCGCCAGGTTGTTGCGAAACCAACCGACCGGCCTTCCCTGGAGGTGTGGGAACAATGCAGTGCTTGGGAGAGAGTAAACACTTGGCTATGGCCACACTGGGAAGAGGAAGAAAGGGAGGGAGAGAGGGAGGGATAGCCAGCGAAAGATTTTATTACAACACCCGTGCTTTTCTGCATGCTTGCCACAAAACCTTTTATGATTTGGTTCAGAACTAAAGGAAGGGTCTGAAATATCCTCGCAGAGCAATTACGAATTTCTCTCTTTCCCCTTCACACGCTGTGATGGCTGCAGCAGAGGGGAGGAGGGTATTTTGTGTCTGTGTAATGAGCTGAAGGTAGTTATTCAGAGACTGGGTGCACCCACCCACCTTTTGTTATTGGCGTGGATTTTTAGTCAGTTGGATGTAGGTTTGCTTTGCCGCTTGCAAAACGATTACAGGAGTGTGATGTGCTCTTCAAGCTGTCACGCTTCTTGATGCATACGTAAAAGATTGGAGAGCTGCAAGAGAACATGTTTATTTGGATTTGGTTCATACTTTTTTTAATGGATTAAACATTTCTTATTTAGTGCAAGGTAGTAATGATTTTTTTTTCCAGTTGGTTCTGTCGAGCGATTAGGCAAAAAACGTTCTTGATAATGTATCAAAGGTCGATTTAACCGCGTTCAATGTTTCGTGCAAACTAGTGTACTGTATACTTCCATCCGATTCAGTCCTTTCCTAGTGTATCCATCAAATTATTGTCGATTGTTTTAAAAATGTTAGCTTTATTTGGTCTTTCTCTTTTTGTACTTTACAAAAGTACAAAATCAGTGGTGAAAGACAGACAAAATATGTCAAGTCAGCTCAAGATATTTACAGAACTGCATTAAGAAGTTGGATCCAAATGTTAGAAAAACGCCAGAGTATTTGAGACATTAGGTGTCAAAACGAGCAGTAACTAAAATATTATTTCAGCTGAAGGTTAAAGAATGACTACAATTTCTTAGTTAACATTTGCAGTAATGCACTACAGAGAGCATTACTCTTGAGAGAACATAAGTGGTAAAGAGAAATATGGGTGAATGTACTTAAATTGCTTTTGAAAGCTAAAATGATTAAGAACTGTATTGTTTGCGAGAAGATGTTGAAAAAATGTGTAGTAATTAAAGAGAAATATCAAGTCTGAAATTCCATGTACTAAAAATATTTTCTTGGCAGACCTGAAGCTCATTCTCAGTATTTATTTTGTCATCCTCATAATGGTGCATTCAATTAGTTTTTGTTAATCGAAATCTTGAGGAAGATATTGCTAATTAATACTAACCAGTATGTACAAAATTAACTGAGCTTAAAAAAAAGCTAGAATTTCACTTTGTTTCGAAAAACATCATAGTGTGTATATAGTAGATGCCAATATTTGAGATATTCTTAACTAACAGTTGATCTATTACAATGTAGGACTCTTAGCCCCTCTGATGGCTTTGGGTAAATGTAATGTGCAGTAAGGCAACATGACATTGTGTAGATAGACCATGATCATGTCTCAATATCTTATTTCAGAAGTGCTACAATTAATGAACAGTATACTATAATAATACTCCTTGGATTTGATACGAGTTTCATGTAAGGAGGACATCTCGAAGTTCTAAACAGCATTTTCTGTAAAGCATAGACTGTATATTTTTGTAGGTGAACAAGTTTTATGGTATACCAGGGAAGAGGAGCTAGATTTGTCAATATTTGTGACCCCAACCACTATCCATTGATCCCTGCTGGTGAGTGCATATGTTTAGATGTTCAGAGAGGGAGGGATTGGGCTTGGCTATGAGGATCCCACACAGCTGTGGTGAAATAACCTGTCAAACACACTGTCAAGACTTGTACATGAAGATTAGCCACTGGAGGGACATAGACACTGAACTAAATCAGTATCAGCTTGGATCTTCTGGGTAGGGGGCATGGACGAAAAATGTAAGAAAAATATCAAACTTGCCAAATTTATTTTAATATAAGTTGGAGATAAGTCAATAATTTAATTGGAAAGCAGGTCTGAGAACTATATGCTAAAATAGTGAATAATAATAATAATAATCCTTGCATTTGATATAGCGCTTTTCACGTTGGGAGGACGTCCCAAAGTGCTTCACAGAACACACTGTAAAGTGAATTGACTGTATATTTGTGGGCGAACGCGGCAGCCAATTGCGCACAGCAATGTCCCACAAACAGTCATAGATTGAAAATGACCAATTTATTATTGTTTTTGGTTTTGGAGGGATTATTATTAGGCTCTGTGTGAAGTAAGGAAACTTGCCCAAGGTTTCGCCCTCTGCCTGGAATTGAACTCAGGTCTCTCGCTTGCAAAGCGAGTGCTCTAACCACTGAGCTACAGGACTCCAAATAGGACTAAAATAGTGAAGGCTTCTACATGCAATATGCTTGAATGGAAAGCATTGGAAGCTATAAATAATGAATAACGTGGCTATACTTAGTCATGATTAAGAATGTTTTGCATTATGTTGGTAGGTTCAGTGTTTCTCTGTTGTATATTTGATTCTGCAAACATTAGTAATTCTGAAAATGTTCTCTTCTTGCTCATATCTGTGGAGTCCTATAGCTCAGTAGTTAGAGTACTCGTCTTGCAAGCGAGAGATCTGGGTTCTATTCCCAGCAGCGCAAAATGTTGTTACTCCACAGGCCTCTGTTTACCTAGCAGTAGGTAGGAACCCAGTTGTTAGTCGATTGTTGGATTGCTTTTCCGGGGATAATAATCCTTCAAAGAAAACAATAATAATTTGGTTACTCAGTCCACGAATGTTTGTGGGACACTGCTGTGCGCAATTGGCTGCTGCGATTCGCCCACAAATATACAGTCACTTCACTTTCCGCTATATTCTGTGAAGCGCTTTGAGACATCTAGAAGACATGAAAAGCGCTATATCAAATGCAAGGGTTATTATTATTATATCTTGTCGTGGTTGTGGAATACCTGAGTAGTGTTTCTATGATCATAAAATTACATAAACTATATAGCACTGAAACAGGTCATTTGACCCAGCTAGTTAGTGCTGGGCTTTATATTCCACATGGGCCTCCACCCATCTTAATCCCCTATGCCCACCTCCCATACTGCTCTGTTCCCTTCTCCGTTATGCATGCAAAACTAAAAAATCCTCATTGACCATGATATTCAGCACCTCAGGCACACATTAATTCCAATAGTAGATGGGAAAATGGTGATCATTTTATTTGACAAATGAGCTTTATAACTTGCAAGTTATGAATGGATTGAATAATCATTTCATTATAGTGGGGAAAAGATCAGACCCTTAAAGTAGTATAAAAATGTTGTTAAAAGTTTGTAGGTGGTGATGTTTTATGTCGTGAAGAATCCTGTATTACTATAACGTAGAGAAAATGTATTTTTGGTGAAATTGTATTAGAAGCAGGAGTAGACCATTCAGCCCCTTGAGCCTGTTCCTCCATTCTATAAAACCATGGCTTATATGTACATTGTCAAATTACCTGCCCTTGCCCCGGATGTCTTAATACCCTGTCCTAACAAATATCTATCCACCTCAATCTTGAATGACATCATATTACAACATAGCTTTACAAAACATTACAACCCGATTAGTTCTGTCTTTCTGCAGATTACTTTTTTTCATTTTCTTTTACTACCGCCACCACTTCTCCACCATTATCACTGCGCATAATACTGGTGTTCCCTGCATGCAAGTGGGTGTTGGAAACATACATTGCTCAACGGACGCATTGGCGTGTGTGAACTTGGATGGTGAGTGTTGATAGGTTATTGCGATCACAGCTAAGTTCAATCTTGTCCTGACTTGATGTCATACACCTATTATCCAGTAGAGATCAGATATAAAAACAGTTTGAATTCCCCTCCCCCTCACCCTTCAAAGGCAGTGAGGACAATTCAGCAAGGACCAGGAATCGAACCTGGGACTATGGTGCATTTTATGAATATCGTTTAAATTGAGCCCTGGTGACATTCTGTGTGCTAGCTTGTAAAGTTACTGATTACAATAGTGTAAAGGAGCTGAATTAACCTTGAGTGATAAATTATTAACCCAGAGTGAT